CGAATTAAATTGCGTTCACACGACAGCTAATGCGAAGTAAACTAATGCGAATTAAAATTTTAAAGTCATGGAAGGGAAAAGAGCTATTATGAAATTTGCAAATCACGTCACTTTATGCAGAAGCAAATATATACATAATGCCACAGTGTCTGGAGACATATTTTAGTGATTAACATATTTTTTCTTAGAAAAATAGCACATTTGATGCTGAAACATGACGGATTTGACTTAATTTTGCCATTATTGCCCCAAAATTCTCACATGATTAGCTGAACACGGAGCTAATGCGAAGTAATTTAATGGCAGTAAACTAATGCGAAGTAAACTAATTCGCATTAAATTCTCCTGTGATATGAAACTAATTCGCAGTAAACTTACGTTTAATTCGAATTAAACTCTCCGTGTGAACAGGGCATAAATCTTAATTCCCTGAATGGTTTTATGTTTTAAATATTTGTTGCCATCTAGGAGGTATGTAGCAGCTAGGCTTGCAGTGATGACCTATATTTTGGTCCATAATAACTGATAACAGAATATTTGTTATTGTGTTTACAGTATATGAAGCCGATGTAACGCAATAAAACGATGCGTGTCAACCAAAATGTATTTGTTTGCAGTGGTTTCTCCTTCTCTTTGTCAATTTCCTCTGTTATTTTCTTGGAGTCTTTTTCTGATGACGAGATTTCAGCATTAAATCCTTTCCTTCTTCTCAATCCTGCATCACCATCCGCCATCTTGTCCCATATATCAAAGAAAATAAGCGGACATGTCTATCTACTTCGATACAGCATTGGAAAGAAACAGAAACTTCCTTTAAAATATTACATAACCGGATTTGATCATCACTACCTTGAGTTTTATCAGCTGAAAGAAAACGATAATTTTTTTTATTAATGTGTTAGGCATACTCTATAAAGGAGAACCAATTTATAATCGCTCAGCAGCTTGTATATTTCCGGAAAAAAAATCGAAAATTTTCAGATTAAGGTATTTTATGGGAATTTGGAGTATTCGTGGTATTTTATGTACTAATTTTTAAAAACCAGAGTGAAGTAGTACAGAAATATAAATTTAAGATTTGCTTCCGATGCTTTCATGAAAAACCGATCGATGAGGGGAATTATATTGAGATAACAAACAGTATTCCAGCTCAAAAGACCATAAAACAATACAAAATAGGAGCAGATCTAGAGCAAACTCGGTCCTCCAAAACACCAGAGGAGGGATCAGGTGCCATGGAGGAGTGAGCACAACAACCCCCCTGTGTGTTCCTTTTGATCTGGAAATAATGACACAAATATGTACTTTGTTACTACTCCCTTGCAAGAAAAGGAAGCAAGAAAAGATATTTTAGGAATTTAATATACATTTCATTATTTCAAACATTAATTAAAATAATAATTTCATATATTACAGGGTTCGACACTAACGGTAGCCCGCTGGCCCGGGACAACTGAATATTGAGGTTGGGCTACCAAACATGCCTTTAAACTTGCCCTGCAGGGCTACTGTTTTACTAATACTCACTCAGAGCAACAAAAATAATTATCAATTACACACAATGTATCTAATAATTATTAAATCTATTTTCAATTGTTTATAATTATTTTTTTGTATGTCAAAATTGTCAAATTTAAAGGTGATTTGAAATACCTTGAATGGTTATATATGTGGACTTTTTTGAATAGAAGAATGTCTAAGGTACAGTCATAGAGTGGCATAAAATTCTACCCAAAATACAGCCAGAATGCAGGATTTGGCATCTCTATTTTCAAAATTTTCCGGGGGAGGCCCCCCGTACCCCCACCAGCAGGAGGGGGAAACCCCCTCCCGCACCTATTGTTTTATAATATATTGAACAGGGCTACTTAGCCCTGCTGACACACTTTAAAAGTTACAAAATATTATATAAAAGTTGGTTAAAAATAAAGTGCAATAAAATATTAAATTTGATGAGAAAAATTTTATCACAAGCAGAGAGCCTTTAAATTTAGAATACATGACAGTGGTTGTTTTACTTGCAGCACTGTGCTGCACACTAACTTTATATTCATTAACATACTAGATGTATACTTTTCACTGTCAGTGTCAGTTGATCTAATTTTACTGTCAAGTTTTTTTTTCAAATCTAAACAGGAGGATTTTTGGACTGAACAGCATAGACATTGAATGTGATTGTTTCAAATACATTGTATGCACAACTTTGTAAACACACTCAAATACAAAATTATCTGTGGTAAAATGTAATAAAATTATTATTAATGGGGAGAAAAATTTCACAAAGATCCTTTCAATGCAGAGTAATACTATGCATAATTAATTCATTATTTATTTTTTAATATGGCAAATTAATTTCCTAAGATGACATTTTAATGTGAAACAATAATATATCTTGAAGATGAAGTCCATAAAAATATATAAATGACAAAGACTAGCCGGTACAAACTGTTTTGTCATCACGTAACATTTTGATAAGCTACCCTAAAAAATAAATATCTTTTTTCTATATCGGAAAATAATCTCTCTCTCTCTCTCTCTCTCTCTCTCTCTCTCTCTCTCTCTCTCTCTCTCTCTCTCTATCATCATCATCATTGTGTTTACTGACGAAATATATTTATTGTATGTATATAACTTGTAATATATAGATAGATTCTTTTATTTCCAAATCAGTGCCCTTGCACGATTTATACAAATATAAACAGCACAGACAAATGATAATATTTCAACCTCATTTGCGTTTGCATTTGTCCGTATGTATTTATAAATGTCAATTTCTTATATATGTTTCGTAAATAACAATTACCATAAAAATATAATGTACACATTGAGCATTACTTTACCACTGAGTCTAGGGGATTTTTTAAAGTGAAGGTGATTAATTATTCATTAAAATAAAAGTTAAAATCGGCAAGCGCCTGTGAATAAAAAAAATTGGAATTAGGACATGAGATACTATGAATTTACATCGTGTTTTTGAAATAAGCTTTTAGGCTAATTTTTTTCTAAAACACACTTTTTTTGTACTAAATTGCCTTTGAAACCATCTTTATTTTTGCATGCTAACCAATTGTACACATTTGAATCCATATCAAAATTTCATTGCAAAACAAAAAAAAAATTATAATATGGATCTACATGTATATTATATTATTATAATTTAATTCTGGTTGTAACGCTGTATTTAAATGGATAAAAAATTACTTTATATCGTATAAAATGGGTTGCCTACGTCACAATGACTTGTGTCAAAAACGTATCAATCCGCCTGACGTTACATTCAAATTTTGTACAAATTAAAGTCATTTTGTTTGAACAATCATCTCTTACATCAAATGGGACATCTTACATCATTCTTACATCAAATGAATGAAAATTAAATTATAAGCAATGAATTTAATGTGTATTCTCCATTTGCAGAAGCGGAAAACTTGGCAGATTATACATCAGTCGGATATATTTAAAATTACATTTTAAAAATATGATTATTGACACACACCCGCACACACACACACAAAATTATGATTATTTTTTCTTAACTTTTTTTTTGAAATATCGATTTTATTCTTTACTATGACGTCACGATTTGCCGCTGCATTCCCCATTGTGACGTCATTCTATTATTATAATATATAAATTTGCAAGATGATTGCAACGACGATTCTTCTTTTCCATTTTTCTAAATGGGTATATCAAAAAATGAAACACGCCGGTAAGAAATGTTTGTGCTTCAAAAAGTAAGCGATTTTTTTTTTCATTTAGTTCAGAATTTGTCAAAATATTCAAGATTTTCCTGCATTTGTTTAACAGACACATGTCCTCGGCTCCGCGGAATGGTGATAATTGACCCTTCAAATGTTGGAAGCTCTGTGGACCTCCCAAACTGGCGCCACAGAGGCGGAGGAGACAATTAAGGTATGAAAAATAATCAAAATTATCGGTAATACATTTCCCATTTCAATTTATAAAGATATTTTTTTTTATGTTTTGATTAATTGCATTATAAGAGAGGTTGGAACAAACTGAATTTGGCATAGGAAGAACCAATAACTTTCCCTTGAATATTGAATACACAGAATGTTTATTGTAAAACTTTAACCAGTAACAGTTTACTGGATATAGAGTTTTTTGCGAATCACGGTTGTTTTTGCGCATGGGAAAATATGCAAATAACTATTTACAATACTCATACTTCATTCAGTTTCAACTTTGTTTTATACCACTTGGTTTATATAATATATTGATTGCAAGCTTATTTAACATCGGATTTAACTAAATTATATGCATGTTGAACACATACATGTATACTGTATAAAACTATTTTAGCTCACAATAGAAATCCAAAATTTATTATTAAAAATAAAGGATATATTAAAGGAAGAAAACCACGATAAGTTATTTGAAATGAGAGGTTTGATGCACCCTATTATTGATCCTGGTTAAATGACAGCGATAATTCATGTCACGGACAGTAAATAATTATCCATATCAGTGTGTGACCGTTCATTCATCCCTGCAATATTCGTGACATTTTCTGGGTTCCTATCGGGTCATTCATAGAAATCCCCGTGATCTCTTTTCATCGGTGATGCGGCCGCTGCAGCTGGGGATTTTCTCACACGTCGCTAAACAATGGCTTGTTTATTGATTTCCGTTCCTTCCGCTATGAATGGGGTGGGAATGAATGAAATGTGGGATCGCATGTCAATTGTTTACTTCCGCTCCGTTTGCGGTTTGATAATTATCCATATAAGGCTAGAAGGCGGGGCTTAAGTGATCTTGTTCTCAGGCTCTATCTTTGTAATATATGATTTTTAACAAACTAGAGAAGGTTCATAATATGTTTTTTAAAACTGATCTGTGTTGATTATTCCCTTAAAAGTCGATCTTTTCACGAAAAATCAAACATAGGCTATATTTGATTAGGAATATTTGTTGACCGCGTATTCTTATTTTTTCCTATAGGTTGACCTGAACGAATTTGATTGGTTGGGAAAGAGATTGAAGCGGATAAATATATTACTGCGCAAGTCAAGCTTTTACTATCATTTATGAATGGAATGCTCAATAGTACGCACTATTTTACCAGAAACCACAAACGGTGCAATGGAAACTCTATCTTTTAGTGATTTTAAGCAGATGTTCGTCGAAAACAAATTCAACAAATCGTTGCGTCTTCTTATTCTTGACTCGAGGCCGTATATTTCCTACAATGATGGCCATATTGTTGGTGCTAAAAACATGTACTGCCCTCCCATCTCTAAAAGAAGATTTGCAAATGGAGGAAAACTTCACCTAGAGAAAATGTTAGATAGCGAAACCAGACATAGACTGACGTCTGGCGGTTATTCAGATATCGTTATTTATGGAGAAAACGAAGAAGAGCTCCTCCACTCAGATAGCAATGTTAACATCGTCTGCCATTCCATACAGCAACTGGGATTTGGGGGCATATGTCAGCTTTTGAAAGGTATTTTTCCTTTTTAATTTTCTATTTCATTAATTACGGTTGATTGAGCGTCTGCTCAATATGTACATTTTTTCAGGTTTCCAAAGGTATTTTATATATTCAAATTGTGAAAACAATTCATTTTTGTTTTTAATATGATGAAATTTACGTAGGCGTATCGTGATACAGTTATGTACAACCGAGACTCTACATTTGTTATATAGACAGAGTTGCTTTGACCTAGCTTGTCAGAAATAATAAATGTTCACCGCAGAATGTGAAATTATTTCTCGTTTATCTAACACGAGGTTCACATTTAATGGATTTTTTCCAACCCTTATTTGGGCATTTCTTTAAGTTATTCATGCATTTACCGGTATATTTATTTGTAGAAGTTATTTTACGAATTTTTAATGGAGAAATACTTTTAAATTAGTGTTCCAGTTATTGTAGAAATTGGTGGAAAACCTGATATTTGCTTGTGGATAGTACATGTATTTTCTTATTTAAAGAGAGTTTTTTTTAAAAAAAAAACTAAAATGAATATATTTAACTGACAATTTATTGGTTGAATATAAACACTATTTTAGGATTTTAAAATCACGTTTCTTATCTATACGTACATGTATATATTACAAAAGAAAATATTTAGTCATAGAAACCATTTAAAAAATTTCCGGTAAAGCTAATTTTAGAAATGAATAGTCCCATTTCTAAATATACAATAGATAGAGATTTTGATTGATAGAAATAGGAACAAAAAAAAATACAACAAAAGAAGTGTTTATATATAGATATCAATTCTATAGATAATGACTTTTACCAATGACACATGCATATTTTGATTAGCTGATTTTTACGGAAGGAAATTGTTCGTGTGTATAAAAAAAATATTCAGTGTTTTATAATAAAAGAAGTATTATTCAAAAGTATGATTCAATGATGCATTCTAATTATAAGCTAAAAATTTTCATTTTATTTTATTTTTTTCCTTATTCCCGAATGTCCATTTTCGGAATGTTTCCAGCGTTTAATTATGTTTTGATTTTAATTAATCCATGTAACTTAGAGGAGTGATGTTTACATTCGTGTTTACTAGACAGTGTACGAAGTCATACCTTATATGGCCAGATTAAAATCTTTTGACCCCTGGCCAATTTTTCTGTTGTGTGTTTATAGTTCGGACCCGGCCTATCCCGTTATGGATACAATTAATTACGCTCGTATATATGTAAAATATCACGTGTATATAAGTAAAAAGATTACTTATCTGTTCATTACTTCCTACCTGTGGTTTTATATCCCGGGATCCTGAAACCACAAAGGCGTGATCATGCGAAAAGGATGTGTAAAACAAATATATAATGCACAAGAGAGTACATAAAACTTTCAACATAAATTTTTTACAGCAATTATTTGAAAATGTTTTTTTTAATTGAAATAAACTCAAAGTCATGTAATCCACGATGTGTAAATTTTTCGTGGAAAAAAATAACCATGTTGCACTTCTTGTGGCTTTATCTATTATATCAATTTTATTAAATGTCACTTAAAAAAATATTAATTTTCAATAAAGTTGTTACATGCAAAAGAAAAATGCAATTGATATTGCAATTTTTTTTTTGCATGATTGGATTTCTCACCAATTGCCTTCTACCTTTCAAATTTATAGACCAATTTTGCTCTCTGCATGAAGGGGCAAGGAATTGCCACAAATTATTGGATTTTCACCGGACGTAGCTAGGGGTTACAAATACCGGAAATTGATTCAATTATCGGGAAAAAATTAATTGTTGGAAACAGCTGTGAGGTTATGGGGCAGTAGAATCGTCGAAGAGAGGAAATTAAGGTTTCAATGTAATACGGTAAAGGCGTTTACAAAGATAAAACAAAAATACAAAGCGTGTTCTACACACCCCCTGAAGCTACAAGGCAAGGTGCAAATTTACGCATCCCGGAAATACTAAGTCGATTAATTAGATTTTTTCAAGAAAAGATATTTGTGAGGCATTAATGAATGTGGTTTTCGTAGCGAGGAAGAGAAGGGGGAGGGGGAGTCGGTGCCAAATCTTACGTTTCATGCCGACATCAATGGGATTTAAAATATCCTGAAAGTATTCCGTAAAGTACATGGGAATGGGAAAAATTACAAAGAACGTTATGGATATATTGTAACTGTATCTTGACATTGTTTTTCTCTGCTGAGTTCAATAAACAGATTATTACGCTTCTAGCCCTTCCTTTTATTTCGCTTTATCATTTATCCAAACACGAAGAGGAAATTTTTGCCCATTAATCTCGGAAGTCGATCATAAATGCGGATGGAACTGAAATTTACGGCTCAATATACAAAATAATTCTTATCTCTAGAAATTTCTCTTTATTTCCGTATTGTAATACTGGTTTAAAATTGCATTCATGAAAAAAAGAATATAATAAATGTGCAATTTAAACTCTTGAACCAAAATATAAACTTGTTCATACTTCCTTAATTAAAATAAATAAGATGAACATACATGTACATGTAATTAATAATTAAAGAGAAATACGTGACTTATAATCTTCAAACATATCTAATTTATGATTTCAATAGCCAGATTAAATTTAAAATGGATTTTTATAATAGAACATATGCTTTAATTAAATAAGGACCAAAATTCTTTATAATGTTGTTAATTTAAATTGGTATTTTTCCCCACTTAATAAATTAAAAGTTTATTCAATATAAAAGTAACCAATTTAAAAACTGAAATAATAAGTGCATGTATTGTGCTTTTTTTTATTGAGAGAGAGAGAGGGGGGGGAGTTAGGAGGAGAGAGGATGAGGAGGAAAAAGGAGAGAGAGAGAGAGAGAGAGCATTGTAGCTTGTTATTTTGCTGATGCCAGGATTAAATTTGTTCTTGAGTGGAATCAATTAATTTTGATGAGCAGGCCTATACAGCCGTGTGATTACGCTTCTGTTTTGTTGCAGGCGGATTTGCCCAGTTTGCTCAGAGATTCCCCCAGTTCTGTACGTCAGCTGACGATAACTCGATAAACAGCTACCCACCAGAACCCACCGCCCAGGAAAAATCTCAGAGGCAGGCACTGTTCAGAACCAATTCCACTCTGGTATGTGTAAAATAAAATTGAAAATAAATAATTTATAAGATCATCTTCTTAACCGAATGGTTAAATTTGTTTGACTTAACCTTAAAAATAAATGTTTTTTTAACTTCCTGGAAACGACCCCCTGTTTTTTTTTTTTTTACTGATCTTTATCATATCGTCAACATATATAATGACATTTTCTAGTAGAAAAAAATTCCTACCCACCTACCGACCCAAATTTCTTTCTTCTTTTTCCTGACTAGGGAGAGGGTAAGAAATATAATTTAAAAGATGAACTAAACCATTTAAAAAAAAACTTTGAAAATTTCACATTTCATCAAATGATTGGGATTAAGATCTTTTTCATTTTTGACATTCATGTATTACGAAATCTTCAATCTTTCATTCGTTTTAAAATATTCCTGTAAATGTTCAACAGGACATCATTTAGGAATTTATTTCATTGACCCCATTAAAATAAAGTTTGCGGATGTAACATATCAAAATTAAATGTTAGTTTATTTTTATGAGTATAACTTCATGCACTGAAAAGAAATCAATTAATAAGATATTTTCTCTGTAAATTTTATTCTGCTTATAATGGCATATACACTTGAGAACACAGAGAATCATATATAGAACTTATTAATAACCAAAGACACATAAAATAGCATCCTGGGAATTCACATTCATTTAGGAACAAAACAATATCGATTCCTTCATTTTGAATTAATTGAAGTACCTATATTCGAATTAATAAACCACACAAAAATTGATTAAAGTGATTGCGACACACCCTGTTCTAACAATACTTCGCCTGTTATTTCAATTCCTTATAGAAGCCACACAAAAGCCCCCTATATCCTTATTCATTGTTTGATCTTTTATTTCCCCCTAGACGGATCCGGTGGAGATTTTCCCCCATCTGTACATCGGGAACGCCCTTTCCGCTGCCAGCATGTCGGAACTTCAGCGACTGGGAATCACCGCCATATTGAACGTCTCTTCCACGTGTAAAAACCATTTCACGACGCATTTTGTCTACAAAAACATTCCTGTCGACGACAACCACAGTACAGAACTCTCCGAATGGTTTACAGACACCAATTCCTTCATTGGTGGGTGAATTTTTATTTAGAAATAAAAGTCATTATAACTGGTCGTATAACCTGACAGCTTAATGTACAACCATATAATCAAGCTGTATATAATCATTTGAAAATTCAGGACAGATTTCAATTTAAAAATTTCATGTTATCATTTTTAAACATGTACATTAGCCTATATATTCATTTGTATATCTAATAAAAAAAATTATATTTCGATTTCCTAAAAAAAATGCATGTCCAGATATTTGAAAGTCACCATTCATTGTTTGTCATCATAAACTTTTAGGGAAAAAATATACAGGGTTAATTATTATTATTAATTTAAATTATATAAATGTTCCTTTGTTTAAAGAAACCCTTCATTACCACAAAAACAAATTGCGTAAAAAGTTTCTCAGTGAAATCACATCTTTTAAAGAAGAGAAACATCGTTAAAACCAACTGATGGATGCACTTTGTTATAAACCAGAAACAAAATAAAGCTCGATGTTTTAATGATTATCTTTAAAACTGGTTGGTGAATGGCATCATTATGACGGTGAATCACTCAATGAAAACATCGGAATCTTGTACTCGATCATTCAATGAAAAAGCATCAGAATGAATCTAGTACTCTATCTCATTAAGATGTTTTGCGTTGTGCTCCAAATAATGGACTGCATTGTACGCGCCAAAAACCAATACACAGCATCAGTCTCTCTATTTTTTGCCTTGGCCATCCTAAATCAAAATGTAATTTGTATTATAGTAATTATAAACCTAGATGAAATCAGGAATTCTGTTAACAGTATTGAAAAGAATTGAAAGAAGTAATAAGAAATTAGTGTCAGTTGACACATCATCAAACAAACGTTGATGGTCTGCGAAAAAAAAAACGAAAAGCTTTTGATGATTGAATTTGCCAATAACAATTTCTGTTTTTTATATTTATAGATGAAGTGAAAGGTGCGGGCGGGAGAACTTTGGTCCATTGTCATGCTGGAGTCAGTCGATCAGCAACAATCTGTATTGCTTACGTCATGTACAGCCGAAACTTTTCATTGGATGCAGCTTTTGAATTCGTCAAATCCCGTCGGAGCGAGATTTCGCCAAATGCAGGTTTTATGCACCAATTACTGGAATTCGAAAAAGAACTGGAGCAAAAGAATCGTCATAGCTCCCCTCTAACGCCCCCTAGCTCGCCTCCATGTCGATTTTTCTCTGTATCTTCCAGTTTTTGTAGTTCTATGGATACGAGTGTTTCCTCGCCATTTACCACGCCATTTTCATCGCCAACAGCTCTTTCTAGCCCAATGGTAGCATTTACCTGAGAGATGAAGTGAGAAATTCTTGGAAATGTCTACACCTCCCCAAGTGGTGATGCGATTTTGCGAACACTTTCTGGACAAGTCGACTACTCTTGTTGAAGATTTGGGTCTTATGGTTGTGCTGATGGCGAAACTCTGCGTTTAAATTGCATGCCGATGTTAGCGGTACAGCCGACGACAGTCAACTTATGTCGAATTACAAAGACTCAAGGGAGCAAAATCTGAAAAGAGTTCGAATTTTTACTCTTTGTTTTCAGACAATCGAACTTTTCTCCATTACATATATGCACTGTACTTGATTATGTTTAATTTACAGCGACATGATTTTTCTTTCTTTGTGCATGTCTTATGTTACTTTTATGTATAATTAGTTCATTCATATTGTTACTGTAAATATGGGGTTTTTTGTACAGTATACGAGCATATACCAAAAATTGTCTGATTGAAATACAACTGTGATAAAACACTTTGTTATGAAATGATTAAAAAATTGAAACGAAATATTGTTCCACTAGATACAAGTTTACTGAAGCAATTATTCCTCCCACGCATCCTATCAAATATGAAAGTGACAATTAAGGCTGTATTATCCTCTTTTGTGAGTCACACTGCATTCTGTTTTAAAACGCAACCACGACTCAGATGAAATTTACATCTTAAATTGAAAAGAAGAGTAAGTTCTCTGTTTTATATACGTGCATATGTACAGCACTTGACATTTTTCCGGACGATTATACGGTTTAATCGGAGACTGAGAGCTTTCATAGAAGTTAAGAAGTTAAAAATGTTTCCGCGATCACTTACATTTTCTATATAGGATTAAAGTACTTTGCCATAAGTTTGAGAGGCGGGAGAGATCAAGAAAATCAAAAAGAAAGGGGTTGGAAAGACACGTCTTTTATTTTTCTGGTACTAAGTATTATTATTTTTTTTATAGACCGGAAATTTTCTTGAACAAAAAATAGGCTATACAACCTTAATTGTTTTAGTTAACAATTTACATTAAGTAGAAACTGTACTCATTCGTGTTACAGATGAAGATCAACAATGTGGCCTATATATTCGAGTCAAAGTGACTCCTTATGTTTTTCTTACTCCAATGTAATTTCAAACGGTTCCATCTTCAGATGGTTATTTTCTGCTATTCAAGGCGTAAAAAGCAATTGAGAAAAAGACAAAAATATTTATGCAGCGGAAATGTAGAAAGTGCTCTTCCCTCCAAACATCCTGTTCATCTTGTGTTATAAGAATGTGAACAGAGACGATAGACAAGTGTAGTGTATCTTAAGGCCACCTACATATCTCTCTCTCTCTCTCTCTCTCTCTCTCTCTCTCTCTCTCTCTCTCAACCAGGGATTTCTGTAGCTATCTCGGGAATCTATGTACACTTGTTTCATGTACAGGGCATCCGCACTTATTTTTACTGATGTAAAAATAAGTAGGAATGCATTTAATTGTATACGAAACAAGTGCCTGTGGGGTATATTTCTCTTTTTTCTTCTCATTCTCTCCAAAAACCTTGGCACGTGGGGGATCGAGCTCTCTTTTCTAGAAGCCAGTTTTTTTTTTCCTCTCTCTCTCTCTCTCTCTCTCTCTCTCTCTCTCTTCTAGAAACCAGGGATTCTGTTTGCAGTATGTCGACTACAAATCGGCGTGGGCGGAGGACTATTGATTTTTTTCCAGGAGAATCCAAATAAAAACAAAGCTGCTCACATTAAATCGCGTGCCGACAAGAGCAAGTTGTTATTTGGCCTTGTTATAGGATAATTCATGCGCTCACGTTCAATACTACAAAATCACAAGAAAATAAGAATAGGCACTGTTTATATAATTAAAATTCTACTGAAATACAAACAAAAAGCACCCCTCTCCCAAGAAACATACACACAAGAAAAATCTAAATTGTGATGGAGGAAATTTTCATGAAGTATCTTATATATAATTTGCATGTTCATCCAATTTCTGTTACACATGTACATTAACAAAAATTGTTCCAAATTGTGTCAACACTCGTTTTTTCTACCGAAATACTGAGATAGGCATTGCGAAGGATTTAGTTGATTTTTATACAGCATAGGCGTCGGAATCGTGGAGGGGTGCTACGGGAGGGGGGGCTTAATTAGCCCTCCCCCTCCTCACTTTTTTGGCAAATATACATAATATAGGCATTGAAATTTGGGGTTTACCTTTTTTGTTGCTTTTTTGCTTCCGACGCCTATGTACAGTTATACCTTAACTTTCACAAGGGGGCTTTCGAGTCTTTCACAGAAAAACATCAAATTTTTGAATTCCATCAGCTCTCTGCTCCAACCTTTTGCTCTTTAATTTCCCCAGATTTGTTTCTAGGTTTATTATTTCCATACTGCGTCTGTTGTTCTGTAATGGTACGGAGAAATATGTAAAAGTATTAAAAAATTAAAAAAGACAAATGTCTATAATGAGTTTTATAATCTATATTCTGTATTATCATGGAAACATGCAGAGAGTTGGAAACTTAGCATATAGCTGAATATATTGATTTTTTTCTCACTTTTAAATTCATTAAATTTCTTTTTATATTAATTCAAATCATATCTGAAAAAAAAATTGCTGAAATAATCATTGTAATTTTGAAGGTAACTGATTATTCTTTCGCTAAAATGTCCATGTACATGTACTATACACATTGCTACTAATGCCCATAGATTCATATGCATGTTTAGAAAAAAAATCTGCAAAAACTACGTCCTCCAGGTAAGCTGCTCACCAAATATTTATACATAAATAAATGAATTTTTAGCTCTGGATCCAACAGTAAATGCACACACAGAATACCGTACACGAAGCTCTTTGAAAATATCTAAATCATTAAGAGACCCAGAAACATTTCTGCTGAATCACGAATAATAAAATATTATAATCTGCGAAAACAACCAACAGTAGAGAAGATGTCAAGAGTTACATGTACAATATATTCCAATTTATTACATACATAAAATATACATGTAATATGTGCGTCATTATATCTCTGTCTCTATTAAACCAAAATAAAATCAAATAAAAAAGAAATAAAGGAGACATAAATAAAACACAAGGAGCAAAAAAGAGGGGTACAAGAAATCAATTTTAAAGTGATATAAAAACACATATCATAGACAGACAGACGTGTGTATATACCTGTCTGATCGATAGTTAAAAATCTATATGGTTTTATCAATTGTACAAGCATGTGTATACTGTATATACACATTATTTTCACAAAAAAGATTTTACTACTGTAACAGATATGGTATTCATCTTTTATCATCTATAACATTAGTACTTTGTTAACACTGGTATTTGAATCTCTAGAAAATTTAACACAGCGGGTGATTGAGAGATCGGGATTGATCGTGAGATTTGTTCTGATAGTCACAATTTAGAGTACATAAGTTTCCCCCCTTTTTTTAAATTCATAAATTGACTTGCTACTCCAAAAGTGCAGTCAAGCGGAATGTCGCGAATTTCATTTTTTCATTGATGAGTCACTGTACAATGTTGGAATGTTGCAATTTAAGATTAGAAAAAAGTTGAATGACCCCCCTTGTTTTCTTTTCTTAAAACCTCGTGAACAATAAATTGCTTGTAAATTAAGTGTTTGAGATTTTGAGGGGAAGTTTATCAATGTTTTTACCCCCTTCTCAACTCTGTAAACAATTAATAAAATTTGTGAGAGAAAAGAAAATACAACCCCCTGCCAAAACACTTAAGGTTGAATAACCTTGGTAAATTGGATCATAGAAGTCTATATCTAAGGGAAATGAATACTATAGGGACTCTAATAGGTCAATGTCCAGTCTAAGAACGAATTCAAATGCATCTACGTACACGGTGTCACTTTCCATGCAACTATGTATTACATATAAATTTATAATTAAAAAAATCATTCCATTTTTGTCTATGAATTCACTTGATGATCAAATATTCTTTTCATTTATCAACATTATCAAAGTTTACGAATAAAGCAAAACGTGCAATTTTTGCACACATAGCAAAAAGTGTACCGGTAATACATTCAGATCGAAATAGCTAATTGGATATGGTTTTAGTATGATTGACATAATTCCATTTTATCTGGCTTTATCACACTGAACAGGCCAAAATTCATATGCATTATCTACGATCTGATGATTTTTTACATTTTATACTAAATTAAGTCATGACAGCTGTTCTAGCATATTAAATGAAGTTGTTATCTCGTGTTGAATCCTCTCTCTCTCTCTCTCTCTCTCTCTCTCTCTCTCTCTCTCTCTCTCTCTCTCTCATTTTGAACAAGCTGGAATAAAACTAATCGAACTGTAATGTAAAGATGAGATCTACATGTAGAAGAAGAATGGAGCGGAGGATTTATGAAGACCATATATCTATCGACGGCGAAGAATCCCCCGCAATGATTGACAACGGTTTTGAGGCTTTATAATCTTTTTCATCGCCCTAGAAACGAAGATCGAATTTTTTCCTCGTCCGATTTCTTCGCGGCCTCTCCAACCACCCACGCATTTGGTGCGGACGTTGACTTTAGTGGCATCTGTCACAGACGATGCGCACATGATCAGCAAAATTAATGATAAAAAGCCCGCATAACATCCATTTTAAGTACTGTACTTGTAAATTTCTTTTACACAGATGTTATATTTATCAGCCCTTGAATTTATGCTTTATTTTGTTGATTTTAACCCTTGATAGGCGGAGACAGATTAAAAACATTGTCTGTAAGTTCCAGATCATCGTATTCAAACTGGGTCAAAAATCAATATTAAATTTCTAACAGTGCAAGGAGCAACGAATTCAGTGTGTTGAAATTAATCATGGGAAATGTAAATATTCAATCTTTTACACAATATTATCATGCAGAAGATAAAATACTAATACCATTTAAAGGGAAAGAACACGTGCTATTGTTTATACCGGTTGTGACGTCACAGAGCGTCCATAGTAACATTTGTGGAAATTGGAGGGGGAATAAGCGCGCCTTTTCTGTGCTGTAGAGATTAGAAACAACCTATTACTGCATTTGGATGTAATAATGTGGTTATAGCATATTTTACTCGTTTGTATGACTCATCCAGTGCTGTATTTATATTTTAAACTTACTTAAGAAGTGCTTTAACAAATTTGAAGACTGTCCAGATAAAAATCAGCTGAGAATGACAGAATCGGCGCAGTCCTACTTTCCATCAATTCCCCCCAGTGCACCAAAGGCAACTATATCATACTGCAGGTATTTTATTCACGATATTTACTGTGAGTGGTCTGAGCAAAAGCTTCAAGATATGCAAGGACGCACGTGAGATTATCTCCTTATTTCGAATTTCCTCGAGAAATCATTTAACATTTGCAATATTTACATGCATTAAAACGATAGGTTGGTTGTATACGAAAGTTAAAAAATAACCTTTATAAATAAACTTATTAAAAGTCTACATACAAACCCTATGTTTTTCTACTGGATCCGAAACCTGAAGCATTGCCATAGAAAGAAATACAAATCTGATCAATTTTTTTTTTAACCTTTAATTGTCATGTCATATTTGTCATACAAAGGTGCATTTAATATTTATCTTTTTTTACTTCTTACATGTTAAATTCCTTATTGGTAGGAAAACATTTTATAGTTGGAAAAACTTTTTTTTTAATTTTGTAGGTCTGTTCAAGAAGCACCATTTTCTGCACTGACAGGGGTGGTTGTGGATGCCAGAATTCCAGAGCGTGTAAGTGAAGATATACTTTTCAGTTATAAGCATACAAAATGTACTGTACGTGTTAGAGGACTGAAATTTTCACAACTTTGTCTTTAATTTCGGGCATGGGTATGTCACCGGGTTCACAGGTGTGTGAAAGTTAGTCAATAGATCGGATCTTAATACCTCAGTGGTTAGAGTACTGGCACGGTACGCCAGAGGCACTGGGTTCGAGTCCAGGCTGAGACTTGACTTTTCAACACCTGTGACATTTGGCGCCCTACAAAAAAAAACACTGTTCCCTTGGAATATGCTTCACGCATTTCCTTAATTTGTAGAATTCGAGGACAAATTTCTACAAAAGAGGGGGAACATGTCACCGGGTTCACAGGTGCGTGTAAGTCAGTCAATATATCGGGTCTCAATAGCTCAGTGGTTAGAGCCCTGGCACGGTACACCAGAGGCCCTGGGTTCGAGTTACGGTTTAGGGTGACATTTGCCATTTTAAGAGGCCCTGGGGCTACATATGGAGGTTTCTATGCAAAATATCTAATTAAATTACATAATTGCTCTACCTAACGCAAAGAACATGTTAAGACATGTTTTCTAATACATTCTTACTATTCACCACCTGTGACATTTGCCATTTTAAGTTCCTTGCATTTGAACTACCTCCTACCTAAATTTCACAGTCAGTGTAAATCTTTTTTGTTTTATTCAGTGTCCAGTTTCCTAAAAATTTTTCGATTAAGAAAGTTCAAATTAATAAACTGTGGGTACTTAGTATGTATTAGAAAATCAATTTGAACTTTCTCTGTACATGAAATATACAGCTTATGGATTTTGATTAGCTCATTTGCATAGAAATATCCATATTTAGCCTTAACTCACTTGCGTACCTCTTACCTAAATTTCACAGTCCGTGTAAATCTAAAATCTCCTTGTTTTATTCGTGAGAACTTTTAAATTATTTTACATCAAACTACACAAGACAGTATGCCCTTAAAATTTCATTCTTGCATATAATAGCATTCCATAAGATTAATGAGAGCAATAACCACAACTCATGAAAAATCTGTATCTCTATTAAAGAGACAATGACTATCTTGTGAAAAAAAAGTTGTCACAAATTTTAGTGACAAGAACAGTTACTTCATGTAGATAAATTTGGGCAATCTCCATTTCAACATTTTCTTGTGAGTGTTAAGTCCTACTAAAAATTCTGGTATCAATTTCTGCAGATTGGACATCACTATAATTGCAAATCAAATACATGTACCGTGAAATCACAAATTTTTGTGGGAGTTTAATTTCGTTGTTTTCAAGGTATAAAGGGACCCACAAATTCAAGTACACCACATAATATTAAATATGTCATATATGTAGCTACTTAATATTTCCCTAACCATGAAATAAAATCCCCTCAAATCAAAATTTTTTTTCAAACCTTGAAAATTTGATCCCACCAAAATATGTGATTTCAAGTTGTACCGGTATGTACCGGTACATGTATGATCATGCAATGCTGTCATTTTATATCTATTAGAACTGATTAACATATGTCCCAATCATTATTTATCTCCAACCTGCTCTTGCTACTCTTTCATAATCTGGAATCTCTATTAGTCTGCAGTTAATTAACGCTCCTTAAACTTTATATGGCTGAAATTCATTTAAATCTCATTTTCAGTGTTTATTTATCTAAGTTACAGCATGAGTAAATGTATAAAAAGTCAAATTCTTTAAGTATTATTTTATATTGGTTGAAAGTTTTTTACATTGTGACAGATGTGAGATCTGTGATAAATTTGAACCAATACTCCAAATTTCATAAATTTTGAACATTTAAAAAAAATTCAAGACTTGATGTTTATCCCCAATTTATATAGATACATAATAGATAACTCTCCAAACAAAATGAAGAAAATGATAAAATCAAAATTGCAGAATGATTTATTTATGATTTTACAAGTTTTTGATAATGAATATCACAAAGTCCTATTTACGAATCTACAGTTTTACATCAACAAGCTTATATTTGGAAATTTTGCAGTTTCTCAACAAAGAAAAGATTTTTCTGCAACTCGACCTCTGAAATATGTATTACGCAGTTTGTCAAAAAGTGTTAAAAAAAAAAAATTACTACCAGTTTACTACCACCCCCTCTAAATACATCATTTAATTATTTGAAAACACCACATAAACAATGGAGTAATTACACTACCCTGTCAGAAAAACATGAATGGAGAGAAAAAAAAATCCCTTTTAGCGTTCAGTCATTATAGTGCGTAATTGTAAGGTTTCTCTCTCAATTAATGGGAGTTGACTTCAATCACCATTTTAATGGCCGCACCAAATAACTTTTGTCATAGAAGGGATTAAACGTAGAATGTTGTGATGTTTCTGATTTTTCTGAAGTTTCTATGAATTGTTGATTGATCAGAATACTATCCCAGTTGTCAACAAACATTAGACTCATTAACTGTGAAATATTACACTCGTTAACTGGGAAGAAGGAAACAATATATACTGAATTTTTTTTTTTGAACCTAAAAAGGTTATGATAAGAGATATTGGATTAAAGTTTTCACTGGAAAGTCTAATTAGCGCGTTTTGTCATTCCTCTTTGACTTTTCCCCTTTTTAGTGCAGTTTTCTCTATAAAGTAGCTGATCAAGGATAGGTTCTCTCAGACACAACCTAGATATTATATTTATCAATCATTTTTATGGCTTGCCCGAATCAAATGATCCCAGGGGTATATTGTTTTTTTCCTGTCTGTCTGTTTGTCTTTCTGTTGTCAACTTTAACCTAGCCCATAACTATTGCGCTGTGTATAAAGTGTATATACCACTTCAATCTACGTCCCACTCCAGAATTGTGTTACAATCAGAGCACAGTGTTTCACAAACAAAATCTTGTTATTTATTTATAATTATTAATGAATATTATCACCATCTCTCAATGGCCAGGAATTAATTTTCTACTGAGAGAAATAGATTTGAACAATATGTCTTTATATTTGCACATTAAAAATGTTTTGATGAGTAAAAATATTTTTGCAATTATATTTCATCGAGTATTTCATCCTAAAAACCAATGTCTCAAAAAATGCCAAACAATCAAAGGTGATGTTGCTTAACTTTTTTTGAAAGTCATGTAGTACATGTATAACATGTTTATAGTATCAATTACTGTATCAAAATCAACAATATAAATTACCAGTGAGAAAAATTTAAGAATAGGTTTAATATATTAATTAACAATATTAACAATATAAATTACCAGTGAGAAAAATTTAAGAATAGATTTAATATTTTAACATAACTAAAGGTTTGAAATTTTTGAAAAAAAATCGGGGAATTAGAATCTTAATTTTTCAATAATTTTAACAGATTTCTTTCCTTTTAAATTTTCTCACAGTTAAACAGCAATAAATTATTATTATTCAGTCTCTTTAGGTATATTTTAACAAAATCATTTTTATTTTCAATGTGCGCAAATTATGAACAACACAATATATTTTTTCTCTTCAAACATATTATTGTTATACGAACAGATCTTTTTTTCTTTCTTAAATATTTGAATGGCCACTTTTTTAAAAGTTCTATGCCAGACCTCTATTCAACTTTCCTACATATCAGATAAAAGTTTTTTCTAAGCTTTTATTTATCTACTGGTATATTGAAACATACATGTATTGATATCTCTATCAGTCTTTGGTTGTTTAGCGGGAAATGTAATGCCCAATTGAACTTTAATCGATTTAACTGTAATGTTTTACTTCATGAAAAAACAAACTTTAGAAGCACAATAACTGGTTTGAAAGGATTAAATTCTAAATGTGTCAGGCAAACCAGCCAACACTCAAGAACGTATAAGTATTATTTAAGACCAGAGTAAATATTAAGCTCTTATGGTATTGATTTTTAACAGATCTCGAGTCTTGGAATAAAGTGCTGATCAGTTCTCTCAGAGTAAATTGTTTTAAAAATATTGATCTTAAGATTGAGATATCCAGTTATTTTCCAAAGAGGCTTTACGATATTAAGGCTGCAGATGCTAAAAAAAAGTCTTTGACATTTTCTCTTTGTACACCCAATATCATTGTCTGGCATATCCAATAACTTAATTCCTCTTAAATATCCAGTATATCAGGTACAGCTAGGGTTTATGAAATATATATAATTATATAAAGGTACATTATTAATTAATTTTGTCATGAGATGAATGAAAGCCATATTAAGAATTCTGAATGCAAATTTTTGGGTTGTTGAGAAAATGAAATTCGATCTCAGGTAAAGCAATTATATTCTGCTGAAGATTGGAAATATTACCTTTAATTAACAGATATATATATACTGCACAGCTGAACTTGAGTATCTTGAACTTTAAATACTATAAATGTCTCGAAATGAGGTGAATTAGTCTCACCCACCTCTTTACGTTTTTATGCGCCCGGATCGATAGATCCCGGGCGTATATTGTTTTTGTCTTGTCTGTTTGTCTGTTTATCTGTTTGTCTGTTTGTCTGTTTGTCTGTTGTCAACTTTAACCTTGGCCATAACTTTTGAACAATAAGAGATAGAGACTTCATATTTGGTATACATACTCCACTAATAAAGTCCTTTCAAATGACATCAAGGTCAATGACCTTGTGACCTTGACTGTGACCTATATGCTAAAAATAGCTTTTTCCACTGTTTGTCATAACTTTTTAACCATAGGAGATAGGGACTTCATATTTGGTATGCATACTCCACTAATAGAGTCCTTTCAAATGACATCAAGGTCAATGATCTTGTGACCTTGACTGTGACCTATATGCTAAAAATAGCTTTTTACACTTTTTGCCATAACTTTTGAACCATAGGAGATAAGGACTTCATATTTGGTATGCATACTCCACCGATTAAGTTCTTTCAAATGACACCATGGTCAATGACCTTGTGACCTTGACTGTGACCTATATGCTAAAAATAGCTTTTTCCACTGTTTGTCATAACTTTTGAACCATAGGAGATAGGGACTTCATATTTGGTATGCATACTCCACCGATAAAGTCCTTTCAAACGACGGCAAGGTCAATGATCTTGTGACCTTGACTGTGACCTATATGCTAAAAATAGCTCTTTACACTTTTTGCCATAACTTTTGAACCATAGGAGATAGGGACTTCATATTTAGTACGCATACTCCACTGATTAAGTTCTTTAATTACACCATGGTCAATGACCTTGTGACCTTGACTGTGATCAATATGCTAAAAATAGATTTTTTGAACTTTGTTGCCGCCGGGCGCATAGTGTTTCACAAACACATCTTGTTTAACCTGGAAATCTCAGATTCTTCAAAGCCCATCCATTTACGTCAAGGGAAAATCGAGCAATACTATTCATTTTCATCATACTGTTAAAATGTGTATTTACCAGAGAATCTTATGAAAATTTACATATAAGAAGTGTCAACAGAATTTAAAAACAATAGGGAGAAAGAAATATATAACATTGCAAGGGGGGAATGGAATAGATTTAACAGAGAAAGGAAGATAAAATATATTGTTTTTAAACATCTCAATTTCTTTTTGTCCTCGAGAAGTTCAAAATAATAAGGTTTGACTGTATGTGAACTGTACTGAATATTCTTTATTTGCCCCCTATCAGTGGAATCAGAGGGGACTTATACTTTCCTCCTTATCTGACTGTCTGTCTGTCCATCTGTCTCATATGGTTTTCTGCACATTTTTCCCCAAATTCTTGCAGGTATTGAAGTGATTGAATGAATGTTCTTTAAAATTACAGATCCAAAATGCATTCCATTCTGTTTTGGTGTTTGTTTTTTTTTTATTTAGAATTATGGGCACTTTGAATTTTTAAGGGGAACTAGTTTACACTTGCTGGTACTCTGGGGGTCTAGTATTGCTTAGGCAATACATTCAGAGTGCTTGCTTCATATTATATTTCATAAAATGATTATTAAGTCTATACTGAAAAGTGGGAAAGCCAGACACTATAGATAAGTCAAATTAAATCCAAGGTATTGGGTTGTACAATGCAAAAAAAAAGAACAGTTTAGGACAATTCATAATACTGTATATGAATTCATATACTATGAAATATACTGTAAGAGTATATACATTATTTGGGGAATAATATTAATATGGATGTCAAGGTTGCATACCCGATTGTAATCAGTTCAAGCAAAATATGCTTTTCAGAAGATATAATCTACATGAAATCTCTTTATACCTTTTATTATTTGCTTTGCACACCATTTGAAAGATGCTGAGTTGGGGAATTTTTTTTTTTTTTTTTTTTGTGCTAATTAGGCAACGGAATAGTCATTACATTTCTCTGTTCTGTATTAAGGTATTTTCACTATGACATTGCTGTCTCATATATGTATATGTTAAAGGTGGGGTCCAAAATCCTAATTAAGGCACGATTCTGATGCATTATGACGAAAAAGTGCGTCATTACGTTGGATGTGTCCTACATTGTTCCTCTACGTCAGAATGTTAATTCTATCACCTAAGCTTCCTTGCTCTGGATGGCTTATGAAGAAGACAGATTTCTTATTTGTGGACAGAATTAGTTATACTCCAAGAAGATCTGTATTTTCACGTTTCTAAGCCCAATGAGCTTTATTTGTAATGAATACGACTTTGGCATGCTAATGTCTTGTAACTGCGTGATGAAAGAGTCGTTGCCAGTTACATTGGGTGATGAATTGAAAGAAGTTATTACTTCCCCAATAAGATGGACAAAAATGGAAAAGCAGGGCATTTAGGAATGCTAATAAGTTATTCTGTTCTGATAATTCATTTTATTACGCCAAAGCAAAAATTTGATCACGTTGGACTATTATTATGCTGACCTAATTGCCATCTGCTTTTTGTGGCCATTTGCTGTCAGAATGGTCATGTTGACTTCCACCCACCCAATAATTTTTACTCAGCATTTTGAGTTCACTCATTGTGGTATACATGTAGCTACTCTATGTCCAATGCAGCCAGTAATTGGTCTTTTTTGAAATAACTAACTTGCTATAAAAATATTGCATTGATCTTTTCAGAAAAAGGTACTGAGCAAAGCAATTTTTTGAATCAGTTGATACTCATATTCATACAAAGGCCTTTTCATATGTTAAAAGTGGAATTAGACTATTATAAATACTATTCATATGAATGATATTATTACATTTATGCAAGCAGCTGTATTATTTACACCATAATTCTTTTTTATGCAAACTTTGATGAAGTTCTACAAGACAAAATCCTCACATCATGATTCCATGATGCATTTTTTCACAAGTATTACAAATATGTAATAATAAGTCAAAAAAAGAACTTTGATATTAAATGAAATTAAGAAAAGAAAAAAATATGCAACTTCTTAAGCTTTAAATAGAACATTGATATTAAAAGAGAAAAGAAAAAAATCCAACTTCTATAAAGCTTTAAAAATAGAATTATTATTATAGCAGATCTCACTTTTTAAATTTAATAGAATGAAAAGAAAATCTGTCACTGTAGCATTGATCCCACTTTATAGCTGCAATCATTTCTGTGAAGCACATGTATATAAAAACTTTTATTTTTTTGTTTTAGCACCCAGTGACTCCAAGATGTCGCATGAGAAAAAACGTGGGAAGTACGAATCGCTGGCGTCTCCCGGAATCCCTCGGGAGCGACCTGTTGGGAAGTTCCCAGGCTATAAAGGCGGTCCAGATGAGCTATAATAATAGCCTGGTCAATATCATCACAGGTCAGTGTCTCAACAAAAAAGCCTCAACTCTGGCAGTACATAGTGTCATTTTATCACATTCTGATACCTCCTTGATCTTTGGACCAGAATAAAATTCAAAGATCCACATGAATTCATATCAAATAAAAATGACGTAATTTTTTCTCTTGTCCATGTAAGTGAGCTTTTCATCATTTTTCAAATCTTGAAAATTGTGTCTGTATTTGAATAATTTGCATAGCCCCCAACCTCTGATCTAAAATGTTCAATTATATTATGAACCACTGTTTCAGATCAATTGAAAATTTTTTTTGGAATGGAATATATGGATATAACAAACAGTATTCTGGCTCAAAAGTCCTTTTAAGGACAGATGAAATTTTTTTACAGGAAATGAAAGCACTGTCTCTACTTTGTGTTGATGTTCTGGATTGGTTTATATTTTTTGGCCTAATTTCATTGCAAATGAAGCTTTAAATAATAAATTTCCAGAAAATAAAAAAATTGTAAACCTTACATTTTGTGATGTTCAAATGTCCATCTTTCAAGTCCTTCTGAAACCATCCTTTTTAATCTATACAAATATTTTTCATTCAAGTTCCATTTTTGTGCAAATTTGAATAATTTACCTATAATTATTAAATTTATGTTACTTATTATTTATTTTCATTTGTTGCATTGAATGAATAAAGACTATATGTACATTGTATTAATATATGTTTTATTTTTCCTCCATAAATTGTCATATAGTTATTTTCAACACAATCTTTTATTGACAAAATAACTTTTACAAATACTCACCACTGAATAAACCATCTGTTACAATAAATAGAAATATGAATGTGCTGTAAGTCACAACTAAACACATAGTCATAGCCGTTTGTCATAAGGAAAACATCAAATTGGTAAAAGCAAGAGTCTAACCGCAACGGAAAATAAAAAGACAGATTGTATTTTTGAAACGTTCATAATGTTTTATGGGCATTTTAAGGCCCTCAAACCCACATTTTTACTTAATACATTTGAGAATTTGCTTTATTTTTAGCTTTACAAATTTTTTTATTAAAAAAAAAGATGAAACATCTCATCCTTTTTAAAGGGGAGGAAATTAAAAACAGTTTAAAATTTAAACAATAAAAATCTTTAACACAGAACTGTAAAACATCAGAGGTGGGATCACCATGGAGGAGTCTTCCCCTTCTGCTGTTGAACAGGTAAAAATTTAGGAACCTGGGGGGGCACTTATATATTAAAACTTGATTTTCTTTAGATTAGCTCAGGTGAGTGATGTGGCCCATGGGCCTCTAGTTAAAGAAAAATTAAAACTACATTTTAAAAACTTGTTTTGGATATATTTGCACGCAGGCATATTTCAGGACTGCATTTAAAGCCAAGATTTGTGTGTGCAAAATTCTGATGTTAATGTACATGTACAGGTGCATATTCAAATTTTGTGTGATTTTTTTTTTTTTTACCTGTAAAATGAACATATGTACCAGTTTATGTCTGATAATAATCATAATATATCTAATATTTCTTTATAGCTGAAAGCCCTGTTCTTAATATGAACCTTGATGTTAGTAAACCATACACTTTCCGTCAGATAGAGGATCGTCCAATCACGGAGCCCGAGAGAAAACTGAGTCAGCAGAGACTGTCTGTGGACGCCTTAGCTATTCAGTGAAGTTCAGAAAGTAAATACAATAAATTTAAAAAAGAAGTTTTAATGTCGTATGGCTTTTTTTTTTCAATCATTAATTTATCAATTTTACCAAAGAATTTGAGATTGAATTGCTGCACTTAAATATGGAATTTATACAAAAGAGGGGGGATTTATGCAAATAAGTGATAAGATAGATCTCCTGAAAATCAACTCCTCTATACATATTTTGATTTATTAAGTTTAAAGAATAGAAAAGTTATGTAGTACTGCTACTTTAGGAAGTTTCCTTGCTTATATATCCCTTTACATTTGTGAAATATTCTACTGAATGGTATGGAATTAACTTTATTTCCAAACTCATAAGAGCCCACCTATTTCAAGGCAAATCCATTAAGAATTTTTTATTTGAACTTTTAGTAAGGAGAATCGAGATAAATATAAAAGAGAAATAAAGGAGAGATTGTCATGTGATCAAATTATTCACAAATTATTAAATGTTATAATTTTAGAGTACCAACTCCGCTTGGACCAATCAAAAAGTATGTACCATCTATTGCTAGGCCAGCCACACCTAAGGACATATTTCTTTACCACTCCAAGAAAAGCCAGAGTCAGTTTGGACCGGGTATTGACTTTTTTTCCTATTAAACCTTCAAGCCCATATTTTTTAATTAAGTTCATTAAGTTCATATCCATTAATTATAATTGCAAATTGTGTCCTTGAGGTTTTAAATGTACCATTCATAACATCTTTTGATGATGATACATTTGAAGATCTACGGTGCACATGGGAAATGTAAATCTACATTATTTATTGATACATCAGAATCATTTTGGGGAGTCTTTTTGATGTTTTGGTTAGGGAGAAGCTAATATAATGAATAGCTTTCCATACATTTCTGCAGCATTGCCTCATGATAAATATGTAGTTTTTAAAAATTCATGATGTGGGATCAGTTTTTGATTTTCAGGCCACACCCGGTTTCAATAATATATCAAGTTGAATCAGTACATCATTTCACAAACAAAATGGCAAATATAATATTCTTAAAATTTCCTCTTTTACAGTACATGTGTACTATGATGTAGATGTTGATCATCATGAATGGTCAAGTGGAAACTGAACTCCATTAACAAAATTTGGGGAGGGAATTTTTTTATTCTTTTTGAAGCTATCATTTAGCTATAGCCTAAGTAATTGGACTTATTTTATGTTATCAGTTTAATTAGCTTCAGCTCAGTGTCACCGGGTTCACAGATGCGTGAAGATCAGTCAATATATCGGGTCTCAATAGCTTAGTTGGTTAGAGTGCTGGCACGGTACACCAGAGGTTCTGGGTTCGAGTCCCGGTTAAGACTTGACTTTTCACCGCTTGTGACATCAGTATGTTGCAAAAATAATTAATATTTAATTACTGTTAGATCATAATAAATGTTAGAGTGGAAACTGAACTCCATTCACAGAATTTGGGAGGGACATTTTCTTTTCTTTTTTTTTTTTTTGAAGCTATATAAATTTAATTAGCTATAGCCTAAGTAATTGGACATATTTTATGTGATCAGTTTTAAGCCTCAGCCTGTTGCCACAATAATTAATATCTAAATACTGTTACACACATGTTTAGCTACCTAAGAACAGATAATTAGGGGCCTCACCTGGTCACGAATTATTGATCTGGGGATTTTTACGGCAATCCTTGCCGGCCAATGATTGACTGGCTCAATATACTCACGTTGTAATTCATGATTTTTTTATTTAATGCAATTGGGAAAGGACAAGCATACTGATGTTGGTTTATGTTTCTTATAATGTTGACGCATTTGCAGAGAAAAAAGATGCTGCATATTGCGACATCATTATATAAACAAATGAGTAAGCTGGGAAAGTTTTCTAGCTCACCTGAGCTTTTCTGATCACATGTGGTATGTTGTCTGTGTCCATTCATCTGTCTGTAAGCTTTTCACCCTTTCAAACTTCTCAAGAACCACTGGGCCAATTTTAACTAAAGTTGGTACAAAGCATCCTTTGGAAGGAGAGTTTACATTGTTAAATGTCTAGTCCCTTACAAGGGGAGATAATCAAGAAAAGACAAAGTAGGGTGGGATCATTAAAAAATATTCTTCTCAGAAAAGCTGAAACTTATGTGGAAGCATGCTGAGTACATGTTGTGTAGAGTATAATTTGTTCAAATTATGACCCCCCTGGGTAGGGCTGGGCAACAACAGGTATTAACAGAGGGGAGAAACCTGGTGAAGAGCAGCAGAGCCAAAGTTTTTCAGGTGAGCATTGTGGCCCATGGGCTTATAGAGACAAACTTTCATTCATGTACATGTAATAAATGAAGTGGTGTGATAAAGGTTTTTATTTGTTTGAATTAATGCCATCGGTTGGTTATTATGGGAAGTCAGAATAGAATTACATGAGAATTTCTCACACTCGATCACAAAGAGTTGTACATAACAACACAATATGAATGCTGAATATTATTGTATTTCAAACCTCTTTCCAATTTCTTTCCAAAATAGTTAATTGTAAAATTGTTCATGAAGCAATCACCACTAGAATTGTATATTTGTGAGCTTTTCATAATGTTTCACCAATTTCGTTTCAGAATCATTTGGTTTGAATGCTCTTCATTTGCATGTCTAAAAAATATTAACTGAATATTAATCGATGCCCTGCAGTTTTGATTGGTTCAATTTGTTTTTACAACTTTCAGAAAAACAGTGTATAGGCCTACGCAATAAGGAAGTCATATGTATGAAAAAATATGTACGTAACTTACCTAAAGCTGTGAATTATGATGGAGTTAATCCAATATAAACAGTCAGTGTGAAAAATTAACATGCCTCTCTCCATTGTTTTAAGTTAGAAATCATGTTTGCAGCATTTCTTTGGGAATTTTAGCAGTTTGATAAAGGAGTTACAGGGGAAAAACAGATTAGAAAAAATGATTTTCCATTTAATGAAAGGATGGAGCAAATTTTTTTTTCCGATTAAAACTATGGTTCACCATTTAATGAAAGGAGCAACAGTTTGTTCTTTTCTGAACAAAATTTCATTGTCTTCTATCATTATTCACATTTAAATCAATTAATGTATATGCATACCATGTAGGTCAAAAAGTTCCTGATTTTGGTAAGTCCAGTAGAAATTGCCAGTAACCATGACAACATGCTTTTCAATGTTTAATGAAAGTAACAATGCCAGTGTATCAGTAGTAAGAATTTCTTCTTTTAAAAACCCAAACCTGACCAAATTGATATGAATCTGTTTTTCATATCTTTTTATCATTGTTTTTATGGTCATATAAATTCTGGTCCACTGAGTTTCTGTATACTGTATAAGCAGAAATTTTAAACGAGGATTTAGTTTTGGCATTTTTAGCGATATAAAGTTAAGATTGCTGAAATTGCTAACAATTCATTCCTACGTTTAAGGTTACCGTTTTCTTTCAAGACATCATAAAATTGCTAAAATTATTCCTCGCTAAAATTAAATACCAATATTAAAAGAAGAATTGCTAAATCTGCGTCTCGCTAAAAATTCTGCTTAATACAGTAAATTTGAAATATTTACTGATGCAGTTTTTTTTCATATTAAGATAGATATACCTAAATATCAATGATATATACCCTCTAAAAGAATATATATTAGATATTTACATGGATGTAGCTCATATTATTTTATGATAATTAACATAGCAAATTAACAATTACAATTAAACCTCATATAATTATATGTATCAAGTCCCTCATTACTAATGTTCATACTCGTTAAAGTATAATTTAATTTTTATTAGTTTTAGTTTAGTATTTAGCAGTCTCTTAGTTTGATGGCTAGTTTTTTTTTTCTCATATGAAATATGGTGGTTATAAGGATATATGAATCAGCTGTCATGTATCACATATAGTGTTCCATATATTCTTATGTCATTCATATGAGTTTGACTTTTATTTTTTATTTGCATTCTAATAACATTACTCATAAATTAATATTTTGCTCATTTTCATTCTTTAAATCAAATTAATTTGAAATAATACATAGGATGAACTTATTTTGAATATTTTTCGGGACCAAAAATATATATATAATTATACTGATATTAAATGTAATTCACACTTTCACTATCATTTCATGCTTATTAAGTTACATGTTAGGTACTTGACATCATAATTTATTTTATTTATTGATGCTTTTGATTCATCATTTGATGCATCATACTTTGGACATTTCTTGAATAATATATTGTAAATTTTTAATTCTTCATGGTAAGCCCTTAATTTAATTATTAAAATTAATACCCCGGTATGTATGAAGATAAATTACTTTTTTTTTTTATTCCTATGCTGTTGTAGGATTTGTGGGACCATTATCTGAATTTGGTTTGTTCCTTACTTTATTTCAAAGCATGTTTAGTTTGGTTCATCTGAATTAACTCTATTTATATGAAATATATGGAATTTGGAGGACAGACAAAAAAATTGAGTGTATGTTGGGTTGCTTTGTTTTAAAGCATTGAGAGAATTCCAAATCATGCATATGCTCACCTGAAAATGACAATTTTTAATATATATTATAATATATATATTTTTTGGAAATTGATAAACAAAACTATACAAATAATATTAATTTAAAATCCCTGCACCATGGGAATTCTGTGCTGTTTTCTGTTACATTTCCGTCTATTTCAATTTTACTCTGCAAATCACAAATTTTTTCACACTTTGCCTAAAAATCTTGCCTACAAGAAGTAATAATATTATTATTTAACCACTAGCATGCTAAGTCTTGTACTTTTTTCATCAAATGTCCGACGAACAAGAAATTAAATTGGTGTGACCATATATAGTATATATATTTTTTTGGAAATTGATACAGTCAAAGCTCCCCCTCCCTCTGTATTTCAATTTATAATAACAATTAGGAATGATAAAAGAGTTATATTATAATGATATAAAAATTTAATGTAAATGTGAAAATAAAAGAGTGCTATAAAATTTGGTTAAAAAAAAATAATGTTTGAAAATGATTATATTCAGTGTTTGAAAAATAATAATTGGTTTGAAATTGTAATCTGGGTTATGTTACAAAGAAAATGTTGCAGGATGTGTGGTTTAAAGGAAAAATAAATTATTGAGCTTTTAATATTAATATCTGATTGCATGGTGAGGGACTATGTTATTATTAACAATTTATTGCAGTTTAAATTGATTTTAAGAAATTAAAAGATATATGCTTTTATCTAAGACAACATTTGAGTACAATGTGTATTAGTTTTCCTAAAAGTGATATTTTAAATGAATATTAATGAAGAATTGAAGATTAAGGTGCATATATTAATTGAAATCATGTTTGGATGAGAAATCAACCAGCAACTAATTAATTAGCTCAAGCAAAGTGTTTAATAAATGAAGATGTATCAGTGTTCACAAATTCATTACGATTGTTAAAATTCAGTTGAATAAATGTAATGCCTAGTGATTTAGTAACTAATAAATTATTTCTTTATTATCTTTTATCTACCCCCTGTTTGGTTGAACATTTAAATCTTTAATCTAATAGTATAATGATATATATTTTTTAACATTCAATTTTTACATTATCTTAACTTCAATGCTTTTAAGCATTTTTAATGAAAGACAATTTGAATTTCTTCTTCATTGCTGCAGCAATAGAAATTAAAAAAAATTTTGGAAAGAAAAGGCAGACATAATTAGGGGTATAGAAGAAGAAAGTTAACTGATTCGCTGTACAAATCAATTATTACCATCATATTTGCCTCTAACTCCAAAACCATTTTATTTAAGATGTGATACTAAAGTGCCTAAATATGGACTGGGAGCTCCATAGGCCATTCCTACAGAAGGCAGAAGTCCTAGCCAGCCTACTGAAGGAGGCAGATGATCCTAGATTCCAGAAATACTACAGGAGTCCCGCCTCAGAAACACTGGACACTTACATCAAGAAAAACAAGTTTTACAGCAACGACTACAAAGAAATGAGTAACAGGTAAACAGTTTACAGGATCAAGTGCATGTTACATGTACATAAAATATGCTAATATGCATGTCAATGTGTCTGACCGTAGCTCGAGATTTCTAAAACAGTGTCTGCTAAAGTTCATGTTTGTAAATCAGGGTTTATGTCAACCTGCAAAAATCAGGAAACTTGTTATGTACAAAATGAATAAACCATAAATTTTGGAATGTAACAGATTGAGTCTGGTGGCGGACCCAGAGGAAGACGAAGTTAAAGGAGTAAGTCATCCAGCCCATGTTTCTGAGAAACGAGTGAACAATGTCACCATTATAAAACTGGACTGCAAGGACCCCCTTATAACTAAGACAGGTAGGCCAGTAACTGTAGGTAACCCATTTTTAACCGGGTAAACAGTATCAATAACCAATTACCAAAAGTCAGGCAAACCTTAACCAAAGGTAACCTAAAGTTACCAGCTTAACAGTAACCAGAGGTAACCAAATGGTGCCAGTTACCAGGTAAACAGTAAGTAAAGGTAACCAAATGTTACCAGTTACCAGGTAAACTGTAACCAAATGTAACCAGTTACTAGGTCAAAGGTAACCAAATGTTACCAGTTATCAGGTAAACAGTAACCAAAGGTAACCAGAAAACAGTTACCAGTTACCAGCTAAATGGTAACCAAAGGTACCCAAATGTTGCCAGCTTCACCAAAAGTAAAATCCATGTACTTCATGGTAACCAAATTTTGCCACCTATCAGGTTAAAGGTCTATCTGGTGTACAAAAATTTACTTTTTTATGTTTGTTGGTTGTTTAACGTCCCTCTTGAAAATTTTTCACTCATATGGAAACGCCACCATTTGTCAGTAGACAGCTGCTAATTTTGACCTATGGTCAGCACTCAGACCCATTGGGCAGTGAGGGATGAGCTTTTTTTTCATGCCAGCACCTACTGCAACAAGGGACCTCAATTTTTACTGTCTTTTGATAAGGACTGGTATCCTTATCCACAATAAGATCTGAACCTTGTGACGTAACTCCTTACTCTGCGACTCTAGAGCAGACACTCTAACCACTGCACCACACAAGTGACTGTATGAGTGAGGTTTTAATCTCAGGTGAAATAATGTATAGACTGCTACAGATATCCTGGAGGGATTTGTGGCTACCTGAATTATGCAGGAAGTTGATGCTGAATTAGCTAGGAAAAGGGGATTGTTTTGCTAATAAGGATATTTTTTGGTAATTCATTTAATTTGTGTTTTGTTATGTTCCTAATATTCTTGCTTTTTTTGGGTTTGTTTTATTGCCAGAACAGGAAAAATCATTATTTTTCTCAAGTATACAAGCATCGTCTTAATGGAAAAGGAAATGTATTATAATAATTGCATGATTTATACAATTGATAATTTCTTTAATCTCATTTGAGAGAAAGAAAATTCATGAGGTAATACATTCTTATTGAATTGAACTTGAATTATCCATGTATTTAGAATGCAAATTTTCATATTTGTAATTGATGATGGGTAAATTACAGGGGTAATTGCTATTTAACTCACCTGGGCAAAGTTGAAGTTAAACTTTTTATAGGTAGGTCCATTTATCCTAAAGTAAGCCTTCCTGGGCCACACTTGACTGATTAAAATGCAAACTTGTTTTGGTGGTCCTTTCTAATGCCCAATACAGACCAAACCAGGGGAACCATACTAGGTCAGACTTGCTGTGGATGTTGCACCTGTCCTATACTATCTGGTTGAGTGAGCATAGGTTCGAGTTTCTGGAACAGTTCCCTTTCAAAAGTAACCATAGGTCCTTCCTAATGAACTCAAGTGATTATGATGAATTTTTAAATGTAACACCAGTAAACTTTGCTTCAAAGTCTATAATTACATATAACTTGAGATTTAGTCCATGTAACCAGATTAGTTAAGTGTGTCTCCAAGTTAAGAGAGTCACTGGTACATACTCATTTTGCTTCAGATGTTGCAAATGGTTAGCCGATTTTTAAGCCTTTTAAAAATCTTGTAAATTGCTAGCAACCTAGATATTCATTGATTGCTAATTGAATGATATTGATCATTATGCATCCATATATGTACATGTGATAAAGTTACCAAATAAATGAAATGAATGGACAAAATTTTGTTCCATTTTCAAGGTAATTTTAAAATTAAGTTACAGTAATTTAAAATTTAGTCTTAAGTCTGTTCTCAGTAAATGGTCTTGATACCATATAACATGTATCTCTTGAGTTAAAGAGAAAATTATTTTACTGATAAAGTCAATCAATATTCTGTTTGGTGACTTTGCAATTCCTAGTGAAACATGAATATTAATAAAGACAAAACAATTAATGCATGAAAAACTGGACCACACCACTGGGATTAATTGTTATAAATCCTCTAAGATTAAAAGTATGCAGGTTACACTAAATCAAGATTTTATGTTCGTTAACGAGAAAGATAAATGGAAAAAAATTACACATGTAAAGTCAGCTGGAAAATAAAAATTAGAAAAAATCAAGATTTCCCTAATTAAAAGACAGCTTGTCGGCAACTCCCTTTGATGACTCATTAATCTCTATTTTTTTTTTTTTAATATTGATATTTGTCATTCTAGTCAACTTCAAACTTGTGAGACAGCTCATTCTAGTACAAGGAATAAAATCAAACAATAGAACAAAGTATCAAAAATAAGGCAAAATTCTAATCATGGGAAATATAGGCAAATGGAACATTTTTTTTTCTTCAATCAGACTACTTTAGGGTAAGCCTATGTAATTTCAGTATCCCTGTTGTGTCATTTTACCCATAATCCTCTCTGATTAATGGTATCTTGGTCTGTAATCCTTTATAAATGACTGTATCTTTATATGACAAGTCAGGATCAGGCTTGCGTTTTGTTATGTACAATTTCTAAGACAAGATCTATAATTAGCAAAATATTATTTCCCTCCTAAGCACTAAGTCATGTGATAGCAATTTTCTCAAATGGGAAGGATGCGACCATTTTCTTTCATCAAGATAAGGATTTTTTTTTCTCTTGGTGATTTCCATCCCAAGATATAAATGACTCTAATAAGCTTTCCTACCAGAAAAACACACTATCTAATGACACTTTTCAAGGTTATATACAGCTGCTTCTCTCCGGCAATTTTCCCTTTTTTTCTGAATGAAAACCTAAAATTGGAAATCAATATATCTGTAGTGTTGGGAGCCCTCAAGCTCAAGGTTTTTCTGTAGTGCGTAGCATGAATTTTTTTTCACCCCTCGTTAAAGCATCTCCATTGATGTTCTTAGTGCATGCAATGGGGATTAAGACTTTTTTTAATCATTCGTCAAAACAATACAAAGTTATACTTTCTGGGCATGTTTTTTAAACCCTATGCAGATGCTGCAGAAACGTACTATAAAACACAAACAGTTGGGTTGGGTCATGTATTATTTACGCGATCTTTGTCGTTAAGTGACAATCCAATGAATGGAGGGTTGGGAAACAAACGTGAAGATGAATGAATTAATCTGTAGGATCCCAGCAAGATACGTGGAACTCGACAAAATCAATAACGTGAAGTGCATTCTAAGTTCAGCAGGTTAAGATGGAAAAAAGAAAATCAATTACATCTCTCGTTTTTCATTAAATTTTTTTTACACCATATAAAGATTTTTCTTAAATGTAAAAAAATAAATTAAAGTTTAAGAAATGATTTGGGGTGGGGGTGTGTGTGCACAGCCATACATTTTCAGTTGTTGGGCACCATCAACTACCAAATATTCTTTGACTGGCAAAAAAAAAAAAAAAAAAAATTAATCATTTTATTGAAGTACATAAGCATATACATGTAGTAGCTATAGTTTCTATCATATTCTATATATATTGACCAAAAGAAAATATGGTTTATTCAGTGTTTGAAATAACCATGCGCCCGATCGCCCGAGACGCACAAATTTTGTTACGGGCAAACAGATTTGCATGTATTGACGCCCGGCTGGACGTGTGAAATTTTTCTATAAATTAAAATTTAGATATTTGACAAACCTCTCTCAAATCAAATAATATTACTGGCTTCAAAGAGTTACAAGCAGTAATATCGTGAGTACCTTGCAGTTTTTAGCTCACCTGAGCCGAAGGCTCAAGTGAGCTTTTCTGATCAAAATTTGTCCGTTGTCTGTCGTTGTTGTCGTCGTAGTCGTTGTCATTGTTGTAAACTTTTCACATTTTCATCTTCTTCTCAAGAACCATTGGGCCAATTTCAACCAAACTTGGCACAAAGTATCCTTGGGTGAAGGGGATTCAAGTTTGTTCAAATGAAGGGCCACGCCCTTTTCCAAGGGGAGATAATCATGAATTTGTTAAAAATTAATGGCATTTTTAAAAAAATTTCTTCTCCAGAACCGCTGGGCCAGGAAAGATGAAACTCATGTGAAAGCATCCTCAGGTAGTGTAGATTCAAATTTGTTCAAATCATGACCCCCGGGGCAAGGGTGGGGCCAAAATGGCCGACCCAAGTTTTATATAGGAAAAATCTTTAAAAATCTTCTTCTCCAGAACCACTGGGCCAGGAAAGATGAAACTCATGCGGAATCATCCTCAGGTAGTGTAGATTCATGTTTGTTCAAATCATGACCCCAGGGGCAAGGGTGGGGCCAAAATGGCCGACCTAAGTTTTTCATAGGAATATATAAGAAAAATCTTTTAAAATCTTCTTCTCCAGAACCACTTGGTCAGGAAAGATGAAACTCATGTGGAATCATCCTCAGGTAGTGTAGATTCAAGTTTGTTCAAATCATGACCCCAGGGGCAAGGGTGGGGCCAAAATGGCCGACCCAAGTTTTACATAGGAATATATAGGAAAAATCTATAAAAATCCTTCTCAATTACCACTGGGCCTGGAAAGATGAAACTGATAGGGAAGCCATCCTCAGGTAGTGTAGACTCAAGTTTTTTTCAAATCATGACCCCCGGCCCTTGGGATAGGGTGGGGCCAAAATTGCCGACCCAAGTTTTACATAGGGATATATAGGGAAACCTTTTAAAATCTTCTTTTCAAGCACTTCAAAGCTATGATTAGTGATACACGGGGTATTTATATGGAATCATCCTCAGGTAGTGTAGATTCTAGTTTGTTCAAATGATGAACGCCTGGAAGGGGGGGGGAGTAAATTCAAGCCCGATGTGCTCAGGTGAGTGCTGTGGCCCTTGGGCCTCTTGTTTAACTTACTACCGCTCTTTTGCGGGGGAGTCGAGAAAGCTCTAAATCTCGTGAGATCACTTGGGCACATGGCATTGTTTACAGTAGTGACAATCAAATGATTCTACCAATTTTACGCCGAAAGTACAATGTATTTGCAAGAATTGAACTCCAAATAGTAAATTGTCAAATAAGGAAAGTTTAGAACATTTTATCAGCTTTACAATGTGACGATTTTCAATAAATGTTTAACAAAAAAATCCCACTTAGTTAAAAATATCGTAAAAAATGTAACAGTTTAAGATTAGCTCCTCTCAAAAATTAATTCGACTGGGCCAGCGATTGTTTAGCAAGGTATTCCACCAAGATTTTTTACTTATCTGTCCTTTTAAATTCTACAATGATCGATCATGTATAGTATTTAAAAGTACATTTTCCCAATCCAAGACGTTTCCTACCTCCATCGCGAAAGAGTTCCGCTATGTTTCGTAATCGCGATATCAAGTTATTCAATATATAGTGAGCTGGCCCCATTCACATTACTGTTAAAATGAACTTTTGAAAGACAATTGCTTTTTCCGGGCTAGTACATTTATGGCAGGGCTGACAACTTCCACTGGCAATCAGCCCTGCATGTCTAGCTAATTTTACAGCAAGTTTCAAACACTGGTTTATTGCCATAAGTGAGACTTGTCTATATTCAAATGTTGTGTAATCCAAGATTTTCTCTAATACTGTGTATCATACTTCAAGTCCCTTACAGTATATTCATTTGTATTGAATATTTCCTATTCTTGAATATTGTCTAATCAATCTGACCAATTCCTTTGGAACCTGAAAGGTGTCTGAATTGAACAAGTTTTGCAACTGTTTTTTTTTTTTTCATTTAAAATAATATAATGCCACTCCAATACATTTCATGGTAGAGACAAACAATATAAAGTAGCTATCTTTGAAATATTGAAATCGATAAAGATGTTAAGGTAATTATTGACAGGCAGGTTACACACCTGGATCATTAAGTGTGGGTGAGTTAATTAATTAAGACTAATCAATGAAAGATGAAAGCCACTACGATCATGAATTGGGACTATGATTCATCGGCTTCTGTAAACAATCCATGAGGATCGTGACAAAAACCTGACTTCAGACCATTATTAGTCTAGTCATTAATGCTGTGATCTTCTTTTGAATTTAATTAAAACAAAATGGAGATATACACACAAATAAATTAAGAAATTTTGCAAGTCTAGTCTTGCATGATTGTCCAAACATGTATTGCTGACTGTCCTGATAAGACAATTTAAATGTATAATACAGTAACATTTGTCTACTCCAGACACCACAAGTTCCCTCAAGACACTTTTAGTTCCATAGATCCAGGCACCATTAGTTCCCAAGATCCATACACTATGAGCTCTCAGTAGTTCATGTCACTATTAATTCTCTAGTTCATGACACTATTAGTTCCCTAGATCCAGACACCATTAGTTCTCCAGATCCACACACTATAATTAATTCCGTAGATCCATACACCATTAGTTCCCCAAATCCATACACCATTAGTTCCCAGATCCATACACCATTAGTTCCCCAAATCCATACACCATTAGTTCCCAGATCCATACACCTTTAGTTCTGTAGATCCACACACCATTAGTTCCGTAGATCCATACACCATTAGTTCCCCAGATCCATACACCATTATTATCCCAGATCCATACACCATTGATTCCCTAGATCTAGGCACCATTAGTTCCCTAGATCCAGACACCATTTGTTTTCCAGATTCATACACCATTAGTTCCCCAGATCCATACACCATTAGTTCCCTAGATCCAGACACCATTAGTTCCCCAGATCCATACATCAGTGATTCCCTAGATCCACCTTAAATTACCTAGAAGTGGACAACACAATTAAAATTGTTATTCCTTCTTTCTTATATACTTTTAAAAGTATACAAATAGGTTCTGGATTAGAAACCATTTCAAAAAATTGAATATACTGAAAATATTGATAAAGACAAAAAGTTTTCATTCTAACACTGATTTCTTGTGACACCCTATTTTCGCAAGATGGACATTTACTTTTTATTAGAAGACTGAATTTTCACAAATTGTGGTTACCGCTCTCTTTGATCTTCTGGAAATCAACATGAGAGTGATATTTTTTTTTAGATTACATTCTCTTGTGGAATTTCGTGACAATAAAAATTTTGTGAAGAAACAGTGATTTGCAGTAAGCAAAGTTTCAGAATCCACTGATCATTCAAATTAGATTTTAATGTAGCTGTAAAATTATCTGTGAAGCATAGGAAATTTCAACTCTTAAAATGAATCATTTCTTTATAAAATTGATATACCTGGTAAAAACTTATAAAAAATTCAATTGCCAAAGAATAATTGGTTAAGACTAGGGGAGAGAGATTTCTTTGTTTTAAATTAAAATAATTAAGATAAGTAATTATAAGTGAGCAAGGACAATTGAATATTTTCTTGAAGAAAAAAGAAGTCAATTACAATCAGTGAACTGATGGTGGTGTCCTGGAGTCAAGAAGATTTAAAGTTATTTTTAGATTTTTCTTATAAAATTTATCACCTTACTAAAACTATTTCTGTCTTGCTGATAAGTACTGAAGTAACAAAAGAATCTGTAGATGTGTATACTCACATCCAAATATAGAAACTGTTCTGGAAAAAGCTGCGTTCTATTTTAGGTAATCGTATTGGCACTTGTGGGTTTCCCTATAATTACTTGTGCACACTCTATGCTAATTAAATTGATCATGTGTGGGCACGTGAATGAAAAAGGAAAAGAAATTTGTGCCGTAGTAAATTAGATCTTTAAATGAGACACAAAATTATGCAGTAATCTGATAAGAGATGATGCTGTGATTAATTATGTTAACAAAGTAAATTGGTTCATCAATACTTAATTATACAGTTTAAGGCTAGTCTAGTATCAGACTGGAAATATGACAGAAAAAATATTTGAAAATTTATTTTATATTTGTTAAGATAAGGTTTAAATTTGAATATAAAGTACAAGGTTACAATGAAAACAGCCATGCATATTTGACCCTTTATTTCCCCCACGCCCCCCACCCCACCGGCTAGTAAATTTTGTTTACATATGTAGATTTATATCAATATGGCCATTGTTTGAAAACAGCTTTTACTGTTAACATATTTCATTCTGTTCTCTTTTCTGTTTAGTGATTTGGGCAGAGAGAAATTTCCTCTAATTTAGTACAATGCTTAATATTTTGCACACAAGAACATTAAATTAGAAATGGGCTAAATCAAATCTACACTAACATGTTCAGAAATCAATTTCCACCATATATTGTACACGCTAAATGTACAATACATTTACAATATTCCATACATGTCCATCTAATGAAATTTTATCAAAATTGGTACTTTCTCTTTTTCAAAACATGGACTTAAAGCAATTGAATCTGAGATTTTTATATGATACATGTTCCTGTAAATTTAGTAGATAAGCAAATTTAAGAATTTTGCTGTGATTGGCTTAAAATTTGATAAAATATTGAAATAAAATATGAAATTCAGAAATTTTCCAAAAAATTACGACCTTTCTGATTTTTTTTCCCCACAATATCTTAATTATAAAATACAATTGAATTAAATACTCATTTTGAAATAAAAGCATGAAAACTTTTTTTTTTGGGGGGGGGGGGTTACAAATTTATGCTGAATTCTAAAACACTAAAGAACAGAGACGAAAAAGGTCCTTTATCTTATCTTGTCCTTTTCCAGTAAAAATTTCAAAGAATTCAATAAACTTTGGATCCTGAAGGCGTTATTTAAAAAAAAATCACAGATAGCAGACTGTCGCACTAATGATATTAAAAGAATTCTCCCACTGCTTTATTTGTTGAAACAGCTTCATCAAGATTGGCTATTAATCAAATCAGTAAGAAATTGCTTAAAATGGAATTGGGAATGCAGCCTTAATGTGGTATTAATCCTCCTGGGTTTTAATAGTACAAAACACTTCAGGTCCTGTTTCTTGATTGTTTGCTGCACATGCAGAGTAAAAAAAAAATCAACCTAAAAAAATATTGTCAATCAATGATGCATTCATTAAGGAATTTGATTGTTTTCCTATTTAAATTTTTATATAAATTGTACAACTTGGGTTGAGATGTGTATTTCAATATTCATGTCTGTTTTGAATTTAGTATGTACATGTACATTTATGTATATGGTCTGAGAAATTTGTCAAATATATACATTCCTGTAAAATGGTACATGCACCTGTATCATGTCAGCTTTAAGCTAAATTCAGTATGGTTTCATGTGACTTTTTTTTGTTACTTTTATACTGAAAGGCATTTTATATGGCATCTTACATAAATTCTAAACCTATTAGCACCTAGTATTTGGGTTCCAACAAAATGAAACACTTGGTGACTGTTGTTTATGAATTGTTTCCGCTTAAAAGTCTACAGCAGTAGTAAAATTCACCCTTTATTTCTTTTTGAGTAGACAACTTAGTACACTATAAAACCTTTAACTTCTGTGACTTTTTCATGAAAATCACTCAACTTTTTCAGCAATGGCTGTTGCCCTGGGCAACCTCTACCACGATGATCTAGAAGTAGAGCTTGAAGAAGTTGCCAATGTATTGGCCTCGGCCTCAGTCCTCGGGTTCAAGGCACTTCAGGATGCGTAAGTTTTATGGAGCCTCATTAGTATTGTTTTTAACTTTTCCATTTAAAAAGCAAGTGACAGAGTTAAAACAGAAATTCCTGAATGCCTTAATTTACACAGAACTTTATTCATGAAAGGGTCTAGGGGATGGGAGAAGGGTAGTTGATGAGTCAGGAAAAGGATAAAATTATCACTGCATACATTTTGCATTTAATTTTTCAAATTCTTGAGTAATGCAGGCATAAAACCATAATGTGCATGCATGTACAGAAAAAGAGACTAAAAACTGACATTTAGATATTTAATTTATAAGGAAGACATAAAATATGTGGCATATTCTCATTAACACTTATTCCCATTTAAGGTGTGGTAGAATGATGCTGGAAAACATCAATTACAGAACTGTGTGTATATATCACCTGGCGGCCTCGAAGGTGAGCAAATTATCAATAATAAATCATAATGTCACTTCTATAGATACACAATTTTATTTCAAATATCATCTAAATTGTTTTTTAATTAATTTTTTGTCCTCTCGACTGCTAGATATTAATAAATAACTTCTATTTAAAGTGGTTGCTACCAACAGTGACAGATTCAGGGTTCAAAAAAAGGGGGTTACGAATTGGAGGTCCAAAAGGAGGGGGGGGGGAGAGCACCTGGAAGTGTCCCCACTAAATCTGCCAGAAAAGCAATGAAAATGAAAAACATTCCAAGAAGGATAACTTTTGTCTTTTCAGTATCATCAAGAACAGGTGGTGTTAGCTTGTGAAAGATGGCTGGAGCTGAATCTTATTCCTCAGGTATTTTTGTCAAAAGAAAACTTTAATGAATCAATCCCTCTGGTATCTTTGTCAAACTTAAACTGTCAAATGATATTCCTCAGGTAATTTTGTCAAAATTTAAGTGAGTTGTATATTTCATGGAAGATTGACAATGCAGGGTTGTCTCTATGAATTAAAACAGCAGGACACATTTAAAAAAGTAGAATGGGATTTGGGGTCCCCTCCCTAAACAGATGGGATTAGAGGTTTTAAGATAGTACCTAATGGATGACATTACTATTGACGGGGAAATTCCCCTGCATGGCCTCAAGTCTTATGGACAACCCTGCAATGCAACCTTAAAGCAAAGGGGAAAATCCCATAAGAATTATTTAGGGAATATACACTGATATACACTAATATACCTGGTATTGGGATATCCTTTCTGTCTTGCAATAATATGGTTGAATATAAATGAAGTAAATTAATCCTTTTTCGTCTGTTTATAGCTGTCCTCTCAGATCCAGTTACGAGAAGTTCCAATGGAGCTTATCCAGAAAACCCTCAAGTCAAACAGGTATGTATAAGCTTTCAAATCAGTTAATACAGTGAAACTGGACTAATCTGGAAGTTGTATATTCTAAAACAGTTGGATGATCCAGATGTTGTTTGTTAATAATTCCCAAATCTTACCTAATATGATTTTAACTTTAAGTCCTTTTCAGTAACTTGAATTGTTTATATGTTTTATGTTTAAATGTTGTCTAATCTGGAATGTTGTCTAATCCGCCCAATTTCATTGAAACCAGTCATGCCCAGATTGGTTAAGTTTTATGGTATCTGTTTTGAAGAGAAATTTCAGGATTTTGAATGTTGATTATTAGGCATTTAGTAAATTGAAGAACAAATTGTTTCAACTATTTGTTTACTTTTTCCTGAATAAATAGATAATGGCCGATTCTGTTTTATTTCAGATTGTTTACGTTTAACGAGTACAGTATTTATCGGCTGCTCTCCTATTGGTTATTCCTACAGCTTAATCCTCATATACAACTGATGCCCTCGCACAGCACTGTTCTCTCCTACTATAACAGGTAAAACATTCCGTCACGTAAATCTGTGGAAGTTTAGAAAAATTAAACTTTGGTATCTCAAGTATTGCTATCTCAAATAACTTGGATATTTCTTTGAAATACATACAAAATGCTTCTCCTCCTACAGTTTTGGTCTGATTTCAATATAACTTGGCATACAAATAGACTATGCTATTATACCTAACTCTGTATATGAAAATAAATCAGTAGAGCTACAGTTTTAACAGAGATTTCTGTTTTTTAACTAATCAGCATCCAAGTAGATTTCCAATGACTGAAAATGATAGAAAAGAAGGAAAGATAACTCAGAGTACAACAAAAAATACCTTAAAGAGATGTGTACCATATAATTTACTACTGTTGTATATATTTTATTTACTGAGAATTCTTTACAGTTTACCTAAGAACTGTGCCCTTGTGGAGAAAGATGAAGGTCAGATGTATGCCCCCCTTTTCTCAGCCGTCAGACTTACAGGGATCACTGACAGTAAGTACCTGTGTACCTTATTAATACAGTCTGTAAATCACTTTATTTTTGCATAATTACCTGAGACCATCTGCTCATGAGAATTTTGCTATCTATGATACAAATTTTTTTACCCACTTTTGATAGACCTTTTAGCTTGACCAAAAATTCCAAACAGTCAGTGCGAAGGCTTTAATATTTCATGTGTGTATTCTTATGTGGAAGTAGTATATTTTACCTATTGACCTAAGAGTTTGACCTTCTGTTGAAAAACATAAAATTTGGCCATAACTTCTGCATGATTGGTGCAAAGGCTTTCATATTTCTCATAATGTGTGTAACTCTTCTGGTAAGACCTTTTTGGGGGAGGGGGGGGGGGGTTGTGGAGGGGATAACGTTCATTTTTGACCTTATAGAGTTTGACCTACTTTGCAGCTGTCAACAGTGTTTTACAAACATTTTTTTGGTATCGTTTCTTTAGCATTGCCATTATCACCATTATTTGCATAGAGCCTGTAAATTCATTGATATATTTTCAACATGTTGTATTGTGTTTCTTTTTTGTGTTCTAGATGTCTTGGTAAGAGTATGAGTCTATCAAATCTTTGTTAATTAGTACATTTATTTTTAATGAACTTCCATTTCTTCATTCTTCTTGCATGAATGTAGATTTTTTTTTTTCAGTTACAGTCAAGCATTTCTTCTGTCTGACAATTAGTGAACATACTTTTTTCTGTTCTATGTAAATTGTAGAGGAAAAAATGAAATCGAAATGGCAAATGTAATATGATGAATAGATGAACAATATCTTGAATTTAAATTTGCATTGGTGGATGCTGAAATGCAAAAAATTAGAACAAAATTTATTTTTGGGATCTTTCTTTAAAAGTAGATACTTGTAGTAATTGTTTTTGTCTTTCTTTAGTATATCTTTAGAATCATATAGGGCCACAATTAATGTTAGCATAATTTGTTTTTAATGAATGATTTCAAGTTTCTAAACCTTTATTGAAAGTATATTGCTATATTTTATTCTAAAACATCTATTGCACCTAAGAAAAAAATTAAGATATATATGTACACAGAAATTTGCACCCAAAAGCTCAACACAGATCTCTTTTGCATGTACAATGTATTACCAATTGCATCATTCCTTTCATTCATGCAGTTCATTTTCAAGACTATTTCACATTTGATCACATATTTGATCACACATTAGATTTATTTATGCAAATTTTATCAAAGTTCTTGAGAGGGGAACGAATTTGATTGAGTCTATCAGAATTTTTTATGTAAATTCTTTAAAATTCCAGTCATTGTGTTAATTGTATGCTTTGAATTTCAGCCAATCATATTCAGGATATGCAGATCATGAATATTCTGCCCCAATCACAGTTGATTGACCTTCTATCTCAACACTACCATGCAGTAAGTACGATCATCTTTATATATGTACAAACTACATTTGTCCTGTCTTTCAGTAGACTTAAAGTTCATCAACCCCTTTAACAAGAGAGATAACTCTTATTGGGATAATTGTATTCCCATGTTCCTTAAATAATGTATAATTAATAATTGTGTACTGTGACAGTAAAACACATTTCAGTTGATAACAAAGTGATTTTCAGTCCCCATGACTAAAATATATTGGAAACTTATTGGATGTAATGAATAACACTTTTAATGAAGCAAAATTTTCCACCTCTGGCACTTTTTTATAAGTTTTGCCAAATATGCATGTAATCGGTAGGGATATGTGATGCACTGAAAACTTTGGTGTGTTGTGGTTCATACGGTTCAATTCGTGATTGGTGCATCAATCCGGAATTTGGGAAATCAGTTCGGTTCAGTTCAAAATTTACACAACACATTACCGAAAATAGTAGTCAATAGAAGATCAGGAGTGTTTATTTTCATGATTTTAATACCTCTTACACTGATTGTGCCAATTTGAAGTCTGTGATGTAGTTTATAAAGCAGTGATTATTTTCATTCATGATGAGGAATATTTGGACTTAGCTTTAATCAAGTGGAATAAAAAAAATGTACCAATGTCATTCTGAACCAAACTGATTGCCCTGATCTGTCCCAGCCCTAATGTAAGAATTATTCTTTTAAAAATTGATGGATTTAATTTCAGTGTTTATTGATATAATTCACATAAATAATTTTATGAGTTAACTTTCCTGTTTTGAGATTCAAAATGGCGGTGATTGTCCAACAGCAAATAAAGATCATTTTGCAACTTTGGCAAAAAGACAAGGTTTTACAATGGACAGTTTTGTAAGTTGATGATAATTCTTGAGTGACATGGTGCTTCATGCATACAAAGGAATGGATGGTTTTGGGGTGTAATAGAGTCATATAACACTATAGTACTGTTTAGTTTAGAATTTATAAGAATTAATGGATTTGTATGGATTAGTTTAGATGCCATATTTTTAATATTAATAAATGAGCAAGACTGTATCCTCACCAGACTATAGTACATCAATTGAATTACACAGGTACTGTTTGCTTGAAAATCTTTTTAAGCCTCTAGTTTATCAACTATAAGCAATTAAAGACTTTAAATCATGTGTCAAAAAAATTTTCAAGCAAGCTTAATGGCTGTTCACAGCAGTCATTATTAATCAGTCATTTTGTGGATTGCATTTTATGATATGCAAAATCCAAATGTGATACGTGAAAGTTTTGCCCTGTTTTTAAATTTGCTTTGTCATGTTTCTATTTAGTTGGCCATTAACTTTTCTTTCAAGTCTGAAATTCTCCCTCCCCCCAGAAAAAGCATTGAAAAATTCACTCTACAAAATGGCTGGCTATAAACTTGTAGGTAATGGTGCTTTGTATGTTTTGTTAACCTGGTAGGTAGGATCAAGGCCACACCAATTTAATTTTTTTGCTCGTCGGACCTGCATGCTTGTATTTAAACAAAACTATACAAATAATTAGGGATGTCAACGAGTACCCGGTTAACCGGGTACTCGATCGAACGTCCGAGTATCGAATACTAAAATCGGTGCTCGGTTACTCGGTTGTATATTTCTGGATATGTCTAAGCTTATTTATTAATGCATTAAACAATCTTTTTTAAAACGTAAAATACTCACTTCACTTGTACATATAGTAATTAGGGTTTCCTACTCCTCTAAATGACCGTTATCGCCCGTGGCAGTGTTTATACAGTAATTATCGTGACCAAGCACCTGTTACCTGGTTTTTCTCACCTGCGGCTGTCTTCTACCCTTATTTTTTGAATTTCCTCTAATTATTTGTTTTCACTGAACATCGTTTAAGGTCTTTTATGATTGAATAAATAAGATAATTTTGTCAATTCTCCGAGAAGCCGTTAATTCTCGGGAAAAGAGACAGAATGATGATATTACACGTGCGATTGTTGATATGATTGTGTTTGATTACATGTCAGTTCATGTAATGTTTGGTTGATGGCAAAGGCTTTAAAAAAAAAACTGATGTCCGTCATTGCACTAAACTACAAAATACCGTCCCGTAATACTATAAAATCTAGGATCGAAAAATATACGAAAATCCTAAATCCGCTCTGTTAAAACTTGACCAAGTTCAAGTAAAACTGTACGACTGATACAGGGACGTCAAACGCAACAAAGAGTTACATTACAATTAAGGAGTAGATTATTTTTTTTAAACAAAAACACCGTGAACCACTTTCGATATTATTTCTTGTGTTTATCTGATAAATAAATTTTAAAAAAATATGCTCATCATTGTTACAACAGAAATGCATTTACGGGTAAACCTCCTATCAGGGCATGTGGTTTTATCTCTACAAGAGTTTACAATGTTTTAAATTCATCAATTTACTTGTTCATATTTATTTACACTTTTACCAAGTACCCGGGTACTCGATTGGAAAAACGTCCGAGTAACCGAGTATTAAAAATTGACCGATTTGACATCCCTACAAATAATATTGATTAAAATTTACACAGCCATGAAATGTTGTTCTAATCTGCTCTATTTCTTCATATTTGTATTCTATTTAATCTGCTTACTCTTCAAATCAAAAAAAGTAGAAAAAATATAAGTGTTGGCTAAAATTTTTTCAATAAGACATGTTCTGCCTAAAAAAAAAATTGCTAACATAAAAGTAATTATTATTTAATTGCTCGCCCGTTCATACTTTTTTCATCAGAAGTCCGATGAACAGGAAATAAAATTGGTGTGGCCTAATGTTGATGCTGTAACATTGTGTGTAATATATGTAACTGTGAAATGTGTGTGATATTTGTAGCTACAAGGTGGTGGAGATATGGGCTCTCTCAGAAACTTCAACGCTTACTCCGTTCGACAGGGCTTCATCATAGATGATGTAAGGATCTTGTCCTTATATATTTACACTCTTAACCTGTATTTTTAATTTAATCAAGAAAATCTGAGATTTTTGCAAATACTATAAAATCACTCTCATTTTTGTGGGGTCAAAATTTCATAGTTTGAAGATAAAAAAAATGGTTCAAGATGATTTAATTTCGTACAATTTTATACCCGGGCTAAAATACAAAAATAAGATTTAGATATATGTTTGTGTTATGTCTGTACCATTTAGTTCTTGTTAGAAACTTATACTGTACATGCAATTACTAAGATTATAGTTAGAAATAATCATTACTAATTAATGTATTATTATCATATTTTATTTCCCTTCTAGTCCTATCAAGTCCTAGTTGTTACAACATGATTTTAAATAGCCAAGGGTCAATGAATTTCAAGAAGTAAAAAAAGTAGTTGATAATGAAAATAAAAATCTGTTGGTCTACTTTATAGAATACTGTAAATGCATTTAAATCAGCATGTACAATATTTGGTGGAAATTAATTTTGGAACAAGTTAATAGAAAAATGATTTGATTTAGTGCAGTTCCCTATGTTCTTATTCATATCTTCATTTGCAAAACATGTAGCATTTTAACTGAATTTGCAGAAGCTGCTTTCCGCAAAAGACATTAAAAAGAATACACAGCCAAATGTAACACATTTACAGTATGCATGTAATTAATGAATCATACATTGTCTAAGCCCATTCTTATCATTGTAAAAAATACTTGTTTTTGGCTTAAGGAACCCCACTATCACTCCGAAGTTCTCTCCCTTCACGGATTCCATTTTGAGCTGAAGGCCATTAGAAGCAGTGCAGGTTATGTGACATTCTTTATGCAGGTATTTATACAAATTTTATCTTGAATCATGCCAATTAATTTATGAAATAAGTGTTAACTGCAAAGTTAAATGTATATTTCAGTTCAGAAACAAATCCATCTTCAAGGATTTCAAAATTATTTGAAAAAAATTATTGAACATTTCTTGAACAAGGGCAATTACATGTATGCTTATTAATGAAATAAAAAGTGTTAATTGCAACGTTAAATGTAGATTCCATTTAAAAAACGCATGTGTCTTCCAATTTTTCTAAATTGTTAAAAAAAATTTAAAAGATTGAATATTTTTTAACAGAGGCTTCGCCCTGGTGACCCCATTTTGAGTTTCCGTCAGTGCGAGAGACACACGTTCTCCATGAGGCCAGACAGAGAGGTGCGTTACTGTATTACGGTACAGCAGTACAACAAGGGAGATAACTCAGTAAGAACCACAGGCATCGTCAGCCAGAAATTCGGACTGGGAGACAAAACAAGCAGAAGTGAGGTAAGAACTTTTTAAGGCCATAAAAAATTTATTTCTTGGTTCTCAGGCCCTTCCTCAACTCTTCCAAGGGTGCCTCATTGACCGTTTTTATTGCTAAATCAATAAAATAAAAAAAATTCCTCCCTCCCTCATCATATTTCTTTAAAAAAGGCCTGAAAACCAAGGAATTAACTTTGCATGGCCTAAGATTTTTTTTTTCAAGTGAATGTTATAGTCTCTTAAGGCTAGGGCTTACATGTACAATTAGCTTCTTGTTGAAGGGGGGGGGATAATAAACTTAATTTAACCAAACTGAATTTCATTTATTGCATAGCCATTTCTCTAGAAATTTGTACTAGGGTTTCTCCCATGCACTAAATAGTATCAAATGAGAAATAGATTGAATCTTTAGTATCCTGAACAGTGTGACTAATACCAGGGATATTTGAAAGCATGCATCAACAGCTTTGAAGTTTCAGATATCTTTTAATTTTTTCTGATATTTTCATCAGATTTGAAAAAAAAAAGAATTATGCTGCTTTTGATGTATGAATATACAGTATATTGTATTTCTTTTATTCTGTTTTTTAAATACATTTATGCTGTCATGTTTAATGTTTTCTCAATTGACAGTGCTTAAAGATGGAGAAGTTGGATTGCCCCGCGTACGTTACTTTTGCTGTGATGTTCCCATCTTCTTGAGAGTTGATCACTGCAAAATCCGAAGGAAAAAACCTAACTGTGACTTTAGAAATATTTGCTCAAATATTGGTCCTTAAAAAAAAAGCTAGCTTCCATTGCCTTCTATCAATACTCCTTCTAAGAATTTTAAGTCAAATTATTTCCTATTCTTGTATTCATTGTTTTGATATAGTGTGGTCATTTCCTATTGCACGTAAATGAAATATTAATTTTTGTTGTCATCACATTTACCTCCCTTTTATGTGCCATTATCAACTGTGATAAAATTGTTGTTAACTTTGTGTTGTTCTTGATATATATACAAATATATAATAATTATATAAGTGCTTATATATATCCTATTGTTGCAAGTGTTCAGTACAGTACAACCTCATTTGCTCGATTCCAATAGTTGTTTTTAATTGTACTGTAAGGTTGTGATTCTGTGAATGTTACAGTGAAATTGATGTATTAAAAGGCATTTTATATAAATCATTAAGTTGATTGAAATATAAACAATCGAAAATAATGCTAAAACATTGAAAGGTAAGAGAAGAAATGCTTAAACCTGCCTGTCAAAATATGAAATAAGTCTTTTTGTGCCAAGTTTGCTTTAAACATTGTATGTGCATAATTTTGATATCAATATTTCATATAGAGAAAAAATATAATATCTTTCTTAAAAAAAAAAAAACAATAAAAAGTTTTGTAATATATATATGTATTGAATTTTCCAAGCATTATTTCTCTGTGTAATATTGAATTGAACTCGGCGTTTGCCCTCAGTAAAGAACTGTTTCTGGCTGTTTATTGGTAATTTGTTGTGTTCACACTTCCCACTTTGAATATGGTATTACTATAGTGTCGGTGGCACATCCTGTTGTGTGAGTCAGTGCTTTTTACACTTTTCGTTTTATTGGGATAGGAGACAGTTTGTTCTTGATTTTTATAAAATGTGTTATAAACTATATACATGTATGTATATTACGGTTTTGTATTTATTTGTTAATGATGATCTTGTATGACGTACTACATGTACTTTGAGCAGTTAGAGTATTAAGATAAAGGCCAAAAAAGACTCCTTATGGCCAAAAAATAAAAAAAAAAATTCATGAGAATAATTTTCAAGTATCTACTTTATATTTATTTACTGTTATGAAAATGTTTTAATATAGATATATTTATACAGAATATATATTTTTATTTTCTTCATGAGAAAATGTGCTACACGAACTTCAGTGCTGAACAAATATTTCTATAATTCAGGATTTGCTAAAATATGCTTTTTGAATTTTATTTTCATAGCTTTTATGATTAAAATCATATTTTTGAATAAGATTTAACACCTGGAACAGATATATTTCTTCAAAGCACTTTGTACTTTGAAATTCCATAATCATATGGTATAATTTTAATTTAAAATCAACAAATACAGAAATATATCAACCAAGCAGAGAGGAATTCAAATTAAAATGCAGTATATAATATGTTTTTTATTATTTTTCTTATATATACATGTACCTGTGATACTTTCAAGTGGCCATTTTGTTGTGTATTTCTATAAACTATTTCTTTGGTTGTTGTGAATAAATGCTAAATTAAAATATTTTCTTTTTGTATTTGAAGAAACATGCTTATTTCTAGATTGGGCATGAATGTAGAATTTTCCAAAAAGGAAATTTAAGAATGCAAAAGAAATATGATAATAATACCATATAAGCAAAACTTTGGTGAGGATTCAATTTTGGCAATGTTACCAAGGATTTTGAGATCACTTAAATTGAATTTCACTTACAAACTGTATAATTACTACCACCTTTCTAATTTTCATGAATATCACTTAAGTCACTTTTGCTATATATTTTGATTTTTAAGGAAAAATAGCTAATTGCATCTTGCTAGAACTTCCACTAAATACCGGTATACAGTTAATGTATTACATATATTTATATTATTGTGGTACCCTTGAATAAGCAAGACTTGGTGAATCAGAATGAAAAGCTCAGATGTCTTTATTGTTACTAAAGAAGAAGCCATAATTAATTATCTACAAGGTAGAAATGAGCCTTGCCTTTTATTGAGATAAAGGAATGATAATATGCAATTGTTGTATCAAAAACAATAATGTTTTAATATATGATTCAATGATTAATTGATACAAACTCATTAAGCACTTTATGCCACCTTACTTGTTTACATTTTCTGAAGCATTAGCCAAATGCATTAATTTGGATTGATTAAAATCTACTTTAGTTGATATCAAAATAAGAAATGATATTGGGTTCTTTTATTGGAAAATTTTGAAAAAGAAAGGGGGAAAAAAGAAGTAATGTCAGACTCTTTTGTAGGACAAATTTTGGAATAAAAAAGGGGGATGGGGTATTGGGGAAAAAATATGTAACAGCTGAAAAAAAAAATTATTAGTCTTCACGAAAAGAGAATTCTCTTAGCTGTAGATTTTGTTTTGGGGATGGGAGAATAAGGTCAATTTATTGGGGACCAGCCTTCCAATGGATAGTTTAAGTCAAAATAAAAAGTTACGTTTAGAATTTTTTTGAGGGGGAGTGGTTCCTCTGCACCCCACAACTACCCCATCCCAAATTATAATTTCACTGATGTTATTTTCACCTGTTTGGAAGTCCGTAGCCAGTGAAAGGGAATTCTAAAAGTAATTGTATCAATTAGGAACTTCCCAATCTATTTTGGACGTATGTAGAGGAAATTAATCCTTATATTTACCTGGAAGGTCACGTTCAGGTGAATACAACGTAGTATTTTGTCTACATTGTTGGATCAGTCAATCGGAGAGATGGAAAAATTCAATCGTATAATAAAATCTCTTTGTATACTTCACGTATTCTTCAACCATATTCATTTTATAGCACCATATTGCATAGGCATTGTCGTTCTTCTCATGTTTAGTTATCCTCATATATCTCACTCCTATGTGTTGTACTCACATTCTCACTCCTATGTTTTGTTGTACTCACATTCTCACTTCTATGTTTTGTTGTACTCACATTCTCACTCCTATGTTTTGTTGTACTCACATTCTCACTTCTATGTTTTGTTGTACTCACATTCTCACTTCTATGTTTTGTTGTACTCACATTCTCACCTCTATGTTTTGTTGTACTCACATTCTCACTTCTATGTTTTGTTGTCTTCACATTCTCACTCCTATGTTTTGACCTCACATTCTCACTCCTATGTTTTGTCCTCACATTCTCACTCCTATGTTTTGTAGTTCTCACATTCTCACTCCTATGTTTTGTCCTCACATTCTCACTCCTATGTTTTGTCCTCACATTCTCACTCCTATGTTTTGTAGTTCTCAGATTCTCACTCCTATGTGTTGTAGTTCTCACATTCTCACACCTATGTTTTGTTGTCCTCACATTCTTACTCCTATATTTTGTAGTCTTCACATTCTCACTCCTATGTTTTGTAGTTCTCAGATTCTCACTCCTATATTTTGTAGTTCGCACATTCTCACTCCTATGTTTTGTAGTTCTCACATTCTTACACCTATGTTTTGTAGTTCTCACATTCTCACTCCTATGTTTTGTAGTCTTCACATTCTCACTCCTATGTTTTGTCAATTCTCACTCCTGTGTTTTGTTGTTTTGTTGTCCTCACATTCTCACTCCTATGTTTTTTAGTTCTCACATTCTCACTCCTATGTTTTGTAGTTCTCACATTCTCACACCTATGTTTTGTAGTTCTCACATTCTCACACCTATGTTTTGTAGTTCTCACATTCTCACTCCTATGTTTTGTAGTCTTCACATTCTCACTCCTATGTTTTGTAGTTTTGTCCTGTGTTTTGTTGTCCTCACATTCTCACTCCTATGTTTTGTAGTTCTCACATTCTCACTCCTATGTTTTGTCCTCATATTCTCACTCAAATGTTTTGTTGTCCTCACTTCCTATGTTTTGTTGTCTCTCACATTCTCACACCTATGTTTTTTGTAGTTCTCACAATTTCACTTTTGTTATCCTATGTTTTATATTGCATTGTTTAACATTTTTCACAGCAAAATTTGGGTATGTTTAATTCCTTAAACTCTGCACACATCACCTAGCACAGACTGACAATACTGAAGAGTTTGTTAAAAATGCTTTCTCACATTTCTACTCTGAATTTCCTATATATTAAGTTTTAATATTTTGAAATTCAAGATCATGATAAATTTACTTTGTGAAATTCAAGAATGTTTCAATCAAACACGTCCACAATTTTGCAGTTTCAATAATTTCCAGATAAATGATAAAACAGACTTTTCACAGTATGTAGTATACCCCGGTACAACGATGAAATTAAACGGAAATAAAATACCATATACATGTATAATGCAGAAGCAGTTGTCTTCAAATGTCAGGGTCCCTTTACTATTTAATGCTGATCAACTTGCAGTAAGAAAATGTTCAGCTGGATCTTTTATTCTTATTTCCTGAAAAGATATACCAATATGATATTTGATAATTTTTCATTTATAATATTATTAACTTTGAGGAATACAATGCGGTAAATGCGCACTATTTTGTGAATTTGGAGAAATTTTCTGTGAGTATTGTTAATTATCTGATTGCTGATTACCAGAACATGTGGATTAGACCACTTTAAATGAAACAATCTCCATTTTCCCGAATGTTTTACTTGTTGTCCCTGAAACTTTTAAAACTTTCTAGTCACACATCCGGTATTTTACCCAGGTACAAGCTCAAGTATGAAGCTGATTTGTACCATTAAATTCCTTCCAAACGGAACTGAAGAAATAACAAATGTCAGTAGTGATTTTCATATTTTATTTATCTCAAATATTCTATTCACAAACACACACACGTGACAAACACGCTTCACATTCATACAATAAATTAGATAACAATGCGGAACACACGATGGTTCCAATAAATAGACTATGGACAAATCAACAGATAAGTGAAAATAATTGAAATCAAAATAAACATTGTATAAATTTAGCACCAATGTCATTAAAAAGAGAGACGGCTAGCTTTCTTCCTTTTCTCTCCAGCAGCGAAGGACTTGGATTTGGCCCGGAAGTGACGTAAGTCCTGAGCATGTTCCTTGTGAAGCATTGGCTTGTAGTCTTCCGGCTCACAAAAACTCTGCAAGAAAAAGGTTCAGTTGAGTTTTTTTCCGAATTATTTTTTTTATTTCGCAAATTAGTCTCCATTAATGAATCACATTTTGAGGAAAATATACGTATAAACGAAGACTGACCTTTTGATTCTCAAAGAAGCATTTATATCCATTATGCATCAAGTACATTTCTGGAAAGTTAAGCTTCGGATATTGATCCTGGTTTATGGCTCTGTCGGCTTTCCTTACGTTTCTATACCTAGAAAAGAAAAATGTAAATGATTAAACAATATATATACACGTATTATGTATTGCAGTCAAATAAACCTTGAAATAAAATATCAATTTTTATATATGTACAGATTTTTAAAATTACATTTTTGGGCCTCTTTCAGACGAGAACTCGCAGTAAAATATCAGGATTTGCCTTTTTCCTTCATCGTCTCCTTGGTTCTCTTTGAAATTAAGAATTGTCTCCACGTCACTTTCCTTATACAGATTCAAGGCGTTCTGAAAAGTATAATTTGGCATTTTAAATGTACATCTGTGTTAATAAAATATGGATTATTTTGCTGCCATTGATATGGTATCAGAATTAAAAAAAAATTTTTTTTTTACAAAAACTATGTAAAAATTAAACAACATCATGATAATTTACCTTAACATGTCCAGCCTCGTATTCATATGGATAACGGCAGTCTATAATCTGATAACTTTCAATTACGTCGTCAAATTCCCCATTCACTAATTTTGATACCTGAAAATAGATGTAGAATATTGAGCACAAGAAAACTTTTAATGAGAGAAATGACAAAAAAGGTGAAAAATACAACAACAACAAAAGTCAACACCACGATTCTTTCCTTCATTTTTGGGGGGCATGTGTATTTCAATTTTCGTTTTTCGTTAGATCTGAAAATCTCATATCATTTAATAAAACCCATATTTCCTTTCGTTTTAGAATAAGAACAAGGACAATGTTATGGAACTTATTAATTTACAGTTTTCCCCAAACTGTGATAAACGGACACTATTTACATGTAGTCTGCACACACAGTTTAACAAAAGAAACAATCGCATTGGCACGTACCGTCTCATTTGTTACGCTCTTAAGGTCGGCATGTTTGCCAGGTATTGTACGTAGAGAGTGGGTTGCACTTCCGTCGCCAACCAGATCTTCCTCCTGCGATACACGTTCAACAAACTGTAACACTTCACTTTGGTCTGTAGATGGACTCTTTCTTGGGCAGTCCTGAGATAATTGAAATATTTGAATAAGCCACAGTAAATTTCATTTTATGAGAATCTATGCATACATGTACCAAATACAAGTGTTATGAATTTTTAAGGTTATTTTCTATATTTTATGCAGTAACATTGTCAAGATTTGTTGCCAAATTGAAACCATTTCTATAAATTTCTTGATTAGTCAGCGGTTGCAAAACTGCAATTCCATCCACCCAATTCTTTTTAACTTTACTGACAAATTATAGAACCTAC